ACTACTAACTTGGGGCCGGATACCCAAACTCTACTGACATCAGAGAAAGAACCCAGTTGCGACCCAAGAGGGCCGTAACAGTGTATATTTTACATAACTAGACACTGGAAGATGGTGAATGAATTCCTTCTTCAGGCTTCTTCCCCCCCCCCCCCCCATGAGCTGCTAGATATGTGGGGTTATGCTGATTGGTTCATTGGTACCGTTTTCCTTTTTTATATTAACAAGCTTATTGGTAGTGATCGACGTTGTTGATGGGTGGAGGTGTAGGAGGAGGTTCGTCTAATTACCCAAAGGTACCCAAATCTACTCAAAGTTTCCTTGCATTGCGTAAGTAATGGAGAAATAAGATATATCTAATAAGGTTTTATAATGGTCAAGGGATTGCCAGATGCAGTTTAATGCTGACAAATGTAAGGTTTTGAAGCTAGGTTATGATGATAGTTACTAGATACGAGCTAGATGAGATTCCGAAAGGGATCTGGGAGTAATGATTAGTAAGAATTTAAAACCAAAAAATCAATGCATAAATATTCTTAATAAGGCAAATAGGACACAGGGATTTATTTTTTATTTTTTATTTTTTTTTTTTTGAGATATATACAAGAGTTGTTACATTCTTGTACAGCCACTAGTACGCGTAGCGTTTCGGGCAAGTCCTTAATCCTATGGTCCCTGGAATACGATCCCCGCCGCGAAGAATCGTTTTTTTTTTAAGCAAAGTGTAGCGAGTACAAACAATATACTCGCTCCAAACTCATTAGCATTAATTACGAAACCCAAATTTTTTCCCCTAATTACAGTTAACATTACTTCCAACCTTCCAAATTGGAGGATGTTGAGGTGTAGTCCAATTATATAAGCAGTCGAGAAGCGATTAATCACCGACCATTTGGTCACCACTTGGTCCGGGAGACATCTCCCGTCACGCAGGGTGCAGTTGCGCCTCCACAGATCTCCAGTATCATCTTTTGATACTGGTAATGGCTCGAAAGGGCCACCACTTACGGGCTATTCATGCCCGTGCCACCTCTTGGGTGGCTTAATCTTCATCAATCAATCAATCGATTAATCACCACACCATCTGGTCACCACTTGGTCCGGGAGACATCTCCCGTCACGCAGGGTGCAGTCGCGCCTCCACAGATCTCCAGTATCAGCTCTTGATACTGGTAAAGGCTCAAAAGGGCCACCACTTACGGGCTATTCATGCCCGTGCCACCTCTTGGGTGGCTTAATCTTCATCAATCGATTAATCACACACGGGAGACATCTCCCGTCACGCAGGGTGCAGTCGCACCTCCACAGATCCCCAGTATCAGCTCTTGATACTGGTAATGGCTCAAAAGGGCCACCACTTACGGGTTACTCATGCCCGTGCCACCTTTTGGGTGGCTTAATCTTCATCAATCGATTAATCACACATCAAGTTACAGCCCCGCTCCTGTGCCAGGTAAGTCCACTACGGGCTCACCATAGCCCGTAGTGGACTTGGAACTTTTTGTTCCCAGTAGCTAAATCTTAAACAACAACAACGATTAATCATCACGTTACGGGCTCACCATAGCCCGTGCTACATGGACACATGGGTGGTGAGGGCGTGGTGTGGGTGGCGAGGGTGGCGAGGGCGAGGTGTGGGTGGTGAGGGCGTGGTGTGGGTGGTGAGGGCGTGGTGTGGGTGGCGAGGGCGTGGTGTGGGTGGTAAGGGCGTGGTGTGGGTGGCGAGGGCGTGGTAAAGGAGGCGAGGGCGTGGTGTGGGTGGCGAGGGCGTGGTGTGGGTGGCGAGGGCGTGGTGTGGGTGGCGAAGGCGTGGTGTGGGTGGCGAGGGCGTGGTGTGGGTGGCGAGGGCGTGGTATGGGTGGCGAGGGTGTGGTGTGGGTGGCGAAGGCGTGGTGTGGGTGGTGAGGGCGTGGTGTGGGTGGCGAGGGCGTGGAGGCATGATAAGCACGCCACAACTATGCCCAGCCCCGCGCCACCACACATTCCTCGGCTATTGCATTTCTTCCTGCTTTTCAGGTCGGGAGAGGCCATTATTCTCTGCAATATGGAGGCGACGGCTGACAACAGATATGGGGTTTTATACTCACTAATACTCCCCATCCAGTGAATCAAGATGAGAAAGCGCCGTAACGTCTGTCTGTAAGTCTGAAATTTCCAGATCCTGGGCCTCGACATCTAGACAATAATCGACTTGGTGTGATATTCACCCATAAATTCATTGGTTTGGTTATATTTAAAGTTAACTCTAAGTTTGGGTTGGCCTCCAATGTCTTCCCAGCTTTCTTCCGCTCTTACATTCATTACACTAAAGATATTTAGTCAAGTGTATGAGTGGTGCAATTGAGTATTTGTTTTCCATGTAGGTCTTTGTTTCACCATTGAAGTGTTCCCTTCGTCCTGATTGTATCTCTGTTGTTTCCCGTCGTCGTGGTTCCACCAGCGGCGTATCCCCTCTAATCGTCCTGTTTCCATCTCTGGTGATCGTCTCCTCCTGGTGCCACCTTTAATGTTTCCTCCGTGTTCCACCTCGCTGACTTTAGAACCATTGGTTGTGTAAGTATACGAGAGGAAGTGATTGTATATAAATACAAGATGCAGCGCGTGGGTCAATATTGGCCGGACGAGGGTTATTTATTCCTGGTTTATATGAAGGGCAAGGAAGGGGTCGGGGAGGAGGAGGGTGGCTGACATGGTGGTTGAGTTGGCCGGTATTAATGGATCATGAATATAGTGGCCGGGGGCGGGTAGTGGACAGGTCGCCCAGACCCTGCATCAACAGTGGTCTCCGCCCCCGGGCTCCCGGCTAATGTACTGATGCTTCCCTGTACCCGCTGCCCCTTCCCCTACCCAGCACACCAGCTCCAAGTCCCTATCCCCCCCCCACCTTCCCCTTTTCCAACAAAATAGCTACCCCTCTCTACCCCCAACCTATCCATCACCTCTCCCACCCACTTCCCCACCCCTTCATGACCGAGAGTGGACTTGCCTAGCAAATTCGCTTTACAAACATGTTCATAAATGTTCGTAGCCTCTCCCCTCTCCTCATCCTGTAAGAAAAACCGTCACGACTGTAAGAAAAATACCAGACTATAATTGTACTGTTCAAGACAATAGGGCTCTCTGTGGTGGAATATTGTTGAATACTCCACTTAACTTCCCCCAATAGGAAGAACACCCACTGGATTATCCATCTTGTCACTTGTACTCAGAGTACCCAGCTGGAACCGACTTAACTGTCTGACAATTCACAAACTTAACTGTCAGTTAAACAGAGGATAAGGTCTGTATACTAGTGAATCAATTAGCATAATTATCTTATTGATTTGTTACGATAAATTAAGTAAAATTTAGACTATCTAATGGTATGTGTGGATTCCGGGTACAAAAATAAACTGATGTTGAGGCTTCAGAGGTAGTATAAAGTACAAAATACAAAAACATATAAATATACATATTCACTAAAAAACAAATCATTGCTCATGGTGTTGCACGCGCGCGCGCGCGCGCGCACACACACACACACACACACACACACACACACACACACACACACACACACACACACACACACACACACACACACACACACACACACACACACACACACACACACACACACACACACACACACACACACACACACAGGGGGGGGGGGAGCCTCGTAGCCAGGGGGTCAGGCTACGAGGGGGGGCCTCGTAGCCTGGTGGATAGCGCGCAGGACTCGTAATTCTGTGGCGCGGGTTCGATTCCCGCACGAGGCGGAAACAAATGGGCAAAATTTCTTTCACCCTGAATGCCCCTGTTACCTAGCAGTAAATAGGTACCTGGGAGTTAGTCAGCTGTCACGGGCTGCTTCCTGGTGTGTGTGTGTGTGTGTGGTGTGGAAAAAAAACTAGTTAGTAAACAGTTGATTGACAGTTGAGAGGCGGGCCGAAAGAGCAAAGCTCAACCCCCGCAAACACAACTAGGTGAATACACACACCCAAATGAGCCACAGAGACACACAGAGTAGTTAGCACACACATTCACACACACAGGCACACACACACACACACACACACACACACACACACACACACACACACACACACACACACAGCATTCAGGAACCTGTGTAAGAAATCCTTCAGGATCTTGTATACCACATATGTAAGACCAATCCCGGAGTATGCGGCCCCAGCATGTAGCCCGTACCTTGTCAAGCCAAGCTGAAAAAAGTTCAGAGGTATGCCACTAGACTAGTCCCAGAACTAAGAGGCATGAGTTACGAGGAAAGGCTGCGTGAAATGCACCTCACGACACTGGAAGACAGAAGAGTAAGGGGAGACATGAGCACTACCTATAAAATCCTCAGGGGAATCGACAGGGTAGACAAGGATAAACTATTCAACACTGGTGGTACGCGAACAAGGGGACACAGGTGGAAACTGAGTACCCACATGAACCACAGGGACGTTAGAAGGAACTTTGTCAGTGTCAGAGTAGTTAACGGATGGAATGCATTAGGCAGTGATGTGGTGGAGGCTGACTCCATACACAGTTTCAAATGTAGATATGATAGAGCCCAGTAGGCTCAGGAATCTGTACACCAGTTGATTGACAGTTGAGAGGCGGGACCAAAAAGCCAAAGCTCAACTCCCGCAAGCACAACTAGGTGAGCACAAATAGGTGAGTACAACTAGGTGAGTACGAGGCCCAAACCGCTTAACTTTGCAGTAATGGCTGTTGTGATATGCGAGTATGAGCGGCGACGTGTCATGCTGAGATGCGAAAAGCGCGGGAACGGGTCGATATCACAGAGCCAAGAAGTCGTGGATTTCTTTTTTTTTTTTTTTTTTACTTGTGGGTGGGTGCAAGGACGGGAGGTGGAGGGTGAGTGCCCACATGCGCAGTTCACCCAGGGTGGTCTCCTGTGCGCAATACAACCAGGGCCTTCCTCCGTGCGCAATGCACCAAGTTTACCCGCAGCTCCGCCCAAGCCCCATAGCTGTCAGTCAAGCATGAAGAGCCGACGAGGAGGGAGTCGTTCCGGGGCCTGGCGGTTCCTGCTGCTGCTGACGGCTGCCGTCCTCGCTGCCCCCTCCCAGCACGAGTCGTCTTCTATCTATGACGTGGCACTCGACCTCAACGACACCCACCACCTCTACTGGCGTGTCGACTACCCTGAAGAGGAGGTCAAGTTTGAGGTCCACTCCCGAGGCCGAGCGTCTCAACCCTGGATTGCACTGGGCTTCTCAGACCGTGGTGACCTTGTCGGGGCCGACCTCTGTGTCTTATGGACTGACTGGCATGGACACGTCCATTTCCAGGTGCGTGTCACTGACTTCAGTACATTTCCAGGTGGGTATTACTGACTTCAGTACATTTCCAGGTGGATATTACTGGCTTCAGTACATTTCCTGGTGGGTATTACTGACTTCAGTACATTTCCAGGTGGGTATCACTGACTTCAGTTCATTTCCAGGTAGGTGTCACTGACTTCAATACATTTCCAGGTGGATGTCACTGACTTCAGTACATTTCCAGGTGGATAGACCTACAACCTGTTCTCTCACAAATTACGTCTGAATTTGGCCGTTTGCCCGTATGGCCGAAAATGGACGTAATTTTAAAATGAACCGAAAATGAAAATAAATTTTTGATTTTTTTTCAAAACAGTAAGTTAAAGGTGGTCTGGTGAACCCGTCCTCTTAAAAATAACCTCGCTTTTCGCTCGTATGCGCTATGGCCAAAAGTGGACGTAATTTGAAATGAAATCGGCTCACAAAAGTGATGTGCAGTTTCGTTTTCTGTAAGTCCCCGGCTTACTCCATTAGGTTAGTAAAGGAAACTTTCAATTAACGTTTCTGATGACGTTTTGAAACTTCAGGAAAATTTCATGTCCTCCTATCGTATCAGAGGAGTCCTCCTAACTTACTGTTTTGGAAAAAAAATCCGAAATTTATTTTCAATTTTTTTTATTTTCAAATTACGTCCAATTTCGGTCATACGGTCAAATTCAGACGTAATTTGTAAGAGAACAGGACAGGTTGGGGGGGGGAGGGTGACTCAGTCTTAGGATTCATGGTGGGGAACGCTGCTACAGACTCCTCATTGGGTCATGGATATGTTTATCCCAGACATCCACCACTGTATTATGGATAACGTTTGTCATACGACACCTGAAGTCATAACGCGAAGCTTATTTGTTAACAAATATCAAACACGGAACAGGAAAAAACATTTGAAACTCGTGTGTGTGTTCTAAAAATTCGCGGGATAATGCTATGATTTGTAAAGTGTCGGTAGCCTAGTCTTATCCTGCATGTCATCTACGATGCTCGCTTCATATTCCCTCAGTGCACGATAGACATTCCCTCAGTGCAAGATAGATATTTCCCTCAATGCACGCTAGATATTTCTTCAATGTATGCTGGATATTCCCTTAATGAACGCTTGGCAACTGATTGCATCAAAAACCTTTGGAGGTTGGCAGTTTGAGGTCCTCCGGAATAGTCTATAGTCGTCTAAACTTTAAATTCGTTTAAGTATTTTTTATGCCATGACTAAGATTCCCGAGTTTTAGTTCTATAATCTGTTCCCATAGCACGATATGTCTCCTGATCCCACTTCTCTATTTATTTTTAATGTTTGTAATAATATCTTCACTTCCCGTGACAATCTACTTCCTCCAGTATGGGAAACTTGGTCCATGGAAGACAAAACAGTCATGCAGTGCGTCACGGAAAACAGTGTGACTCTCTATGGAGACAACAAATCCGGCTTTTGCGCCATGAAAATATTGCTTACCTTGAGGTGGTTACCTTGAGGTGCTTCCGGGGCTTAGTGTCCCCGCGGCCCGGTCGTCGACCAGGCCTCCTAAATTAAGGATTAAGGCCTCCAGGATTAAAACTGAATCTGTATACCAAACGCTGTCAAAGGGGAAGAGATAAATGAAGTCTTCCTAACCGGAGGAGATACGGGGGAGTCGGAACAGCAAGGCGCGGGGAGAACACTCACTCCCTCACCCGCAAGCCACCGGACCAGCGTATGTACGCTGGAACGCTTAGGAGAATCTTGCTTTTAAGGTACAACGTTAGGGAGACGGGGAAGTTGTACTCCTCAGACACCCAGCTCTCTCCTCCCTTCCCTGGCGGAGAGCACAAGCAACATCAAACACCGCCGCGGCTCCTTGTGGCGACGACAGCCCCGCATCACGGCGCTGACAGGCCGCCCTTCACCACCGCTTCCGAAATGTTGCTGTCAGTATTGGACATCTTCCTCATCTTCCCTCCTCTCTCCTTCATCCGCCCCCTCCCCCACCCCCACCCCCACCCAATCCCCCCATCTTTCCATCTTTCCGCTTTTTCTTACTCCTTCCCCATACACCCACACACTCCCTTCCGTCTTCCTCCAACCCCCTCCCCCTACCCCCCCCACTATAAACCCATCTCCACAAAAACAAAAGTTTGTTTAGGTCTTTTATCTTGGTTTAGTCACCAACGTCACTATCGCCGCGTCCTCTTAGCTAACACGTCTCGTTATACAAGTAATGGTCCCCCAACGAACAAATACTAAGTACTATGAAAAGTTGCGGCTCACATATATGCAAGTTTTCTATGCTTCGGTTGGTTAGGTTAGGCGGGTGGCTTAGGTTGCTGGTTAGGTTAGCATTTTGTATTTTGTACATTGTGGCAAATCAAGATGTGGCTGCGCCATCATCATCGTCGTCTACATTAAAGTTGCTATCGTCTTGATCGTAATGTATATCGTTATTTTCATCGTTATCGGGTTCATTATCATTCCGTCCTTGTGAGCGCAAATGTGAAGTTAACTTTTAATAATAAGCAAAACAAATATTTTCGTGAGTATCGGCTTAATTAATTATTTTACCCCTGCCACCTATAGACGTGTGGGGCCCACCACAGCCGGGTGGGACCCACCACAGCCACGTGGGGTCCACCACAGCCGGGTGGGACCCACCACTAACACCCTCACCCACTACCACAGCACCACTAACACCCTCACCCACTACCACAGCACCACTAACACCATCACCCACTACCACATCACCACTAACACCATCACCCACTACCACAGCACCACTAACACCATCACCCACTACCACAGCACCACTAACACCATCACCCCCTACCACAGCACCACTAACACCCTCACCCACTACCACAGCACCACTAACACCATCACCCCACTACCACAGCACCACTAACACCCTCACCCACTACCACAGCACCACTAACACCCTCACCCACTACCACAGCACCACTAACACCATCACCCACTACCACAGCACCACTAACACCATCACCCACTACCACAGCACCACTAACACCATCACCCACTACCACAGCACCACTAACACCCTCACCCACTACCACAGCACCACTAACACCATCACCCCCTACCACAGCACCACTAACACCCTCACCCACTACCACAGCACCACTAACACCATCACCCACTACCACAGCACCACTAACACCATCACCCACTACCACAGAACCACTAACACCATCACCCACTACCACAGCACCACTAACACCCTCACCCACTACCACAGAACCACTAACACCATCACCCACTACCACAGCACCACTAACACCATCACCCACTACCACAGCACCACTAACACCATCACCCACTACCACAGCACCACTAACACCATCACCCACTACCACAGCACCACTAACACCATCACCCACTACCACAGCACCACTAACACCATCACCCACTACCACAGCACCACTAACACCATCACCCACTACCACAGCACCACTAACACCATCACCCACTACCAAAGCACCACTAACACCATCACCCCACTACCACAGCACCACTAACACCATCACCCCACTACCACAGCACCACTAACACCATCACCCACTACCACAGCACCACTAACACCATCACCCACTACCACAGCACCACTAACACCATCACCCACTACCACAGCACCACTAACACCATCACCCACTACCACAGCACCACTAACACCATCACCCACTACCACAGCACCACTAACACCATCACCCACTACCACAGCACCACTAACACCATCACCCACTACCACAGCACCACTAACACCATCACCCACTACCACAGAACGCGGTGGTCGGGGCCAACCGGCGCCTTGTGGTTGCTGATCAACAAGACTGTCAAGACTTCCGCTACAAGGTGCACGATGACGTCATCAAGTTTACCTTTTCCAGGGAGTTTGACACCTGTCACCCGAAGCACTACGTTATTCAGGTGTGTAGTGTGCCAGGTGTGTTCGTGCAGGTGTATAGTGTCCCAACTGCCAGGTGTGTGTGTGTAGTTAAGTCCTGGTATAGTTGCTGAACTCCCAGACGGTAGAAATAGCCTAAGCTACGCTATCTTTTGAAATGTATTTTTATTGTCTCACTAAACGTACTTGCACTTGCTGACCGTCCGTACAGGGGGGCACAACACACGTGGTATGGGCGTGGGGCGAGGGCCCTCTGTACCGGCTGGCGGGCGTCCTGGCCAAGGGGGACCAGACGGGCATGGTGAGAGTGCAGCTACTCAAGCCTAGTCTACCGCAGCCCGCCCTAGACGACTGCCAGGTCCTGGAGGTGAGTCCCACTCGCAGCGTCCTCGTACCACCTCAACTCTTCTACTTCACCTTTCGTTTCACACGCTGCACCTCGACATAGACTATATGCAGGCGATGAGTCTCTGTAACGTGGCTGAAGTATGTTGACCAGACCACACACTAGGAGGTGAAGGGACGACGACGTTTCGGTCCGTCCTGGACCATTCTAAAGTCCACAATCGACTTGAGAATGGTCCAAGACGGACCGAAACGTCGTCGTTCCTTCGCCCTCTAGTGTGTGGTCTGGTCAATAGACTATATATCTAATTAAATACGAAAAAATATGACCTCTTACTGGATACAAATGTTCGGTTATTTTCTTTTGCAAATTTAACACTCGAAAAATATCTTAATTTGTTTAATAATTCTGTGGTGTACTTTAGTAAACTTATAATAAACATATACCTTCTGATTTAATAAAATAAGTATGGAGTGAAAATATTGTTTTCACTGTTCAAGTTAACGCATGATAAATGTCAGTATATATTAGTGAGTCTATCAGGAAATAAATAAAACTCTGGGGGCTGACAGCATGACACAGTACCACTTGAATACGAAATGGTTTGCGAAGATTGACTGAACTCACTTTTGTGTTCGTGAATTGAACACTCTGATGAAACTTTAGCGGATACCCTTTTTAAAATTGAATACAAATCTCAAATTATTTGTAAAAAAAACATTCCGGAAACACTTTGTTATACAAGTGGTTGTATGCCACGTGACAACACTTGTGGCCACAGGTGCGGGCAGTGAAGGTGGAGGTGCCGGCCGAGGAGACCACGTACTGGTGCAGTGTGCAGAAGTTGCCCGACGCCTTCCACGAGAAGCATCACATCTTGGAGGTGAGTTACAGGGAAGAACGGGCTATTAGCTCCTGTGTGGGTAGAGGTTAGCTTGTAGAAGATAGGGAAATAGTTTTTGTTGAGTCAGGTTTGGTTAGGGTGAACGGGTAGGATGTCTTGTTCATGTGGGCCCAGATTATGGTGTGAATTTGTAAGGACTACGAGTTAGCTTGTGGAGGGCAGGAGTGAGTTTGTGGAGTGTAGGAATGAGCTTTTTTTAGGGTAGGGATATACTAGGCTAGCAGGGAAAATCGTAGAGTAAGTTGATCAGGGAGGGTTAAAGAAACTAGAAAGAGACGAATAAGGATAGATGTGATAATGTGAGTCCAAGATATGCGTAACATCGGCGTTGGCTTCAGTGAATGTTCGTGCTCCTGAGAGTTAATGTAAATGAATGAGGGAAATATAGGCTCTAGCAAAGGAATTCACTAAGAACAAAAATAAAACAAAATTAATTATAATGTTGTCCTATAAAATGGAATGAATAGAATGATGTCCTAGTTAGATATTTCCAACGGATATGATATTTTATACAAAAGACGGTTCAGCAAAGAAATTTTTGTTTTATAACTTAACCTAATGTGACTCATTCTAGCCTAATGTAACTTAACTGTAACTTGACCCAACCTAACGTAAACATCATACCCAAATGATATATAAAATTTGAACAATTCTAAAACAAAGTTCGTTGGAAGGTGCTGTGCATGACTAGGTTGCATCCCATCACAACAGTATATAAACACTTGTTGAAGCAGTTACCAACGTCCTCTTACAGTTTGGACCCGTCATCGAGAAGGGGAACGAAGATGTGGTTCACCACATGGAAGTATTTCACTGCGAATACCCGCCCGACGTGGTCGTGCCCAGGTACCAGGTACGTCAATACCCATCTGGACACCTGTACTAGATTCACCACTTGCAGGAATTATACTGCGTGTACCCGCCCACCATGTCCATCCCCAGGTACCTCATTACTCATCTGTTTACATATACAAGGTCAACTGGTCGTGAGTAGCGAGAGAGTGTATAGTTTGACACCACGAAGTCAGCCTTGATTATCACGCTTGGGTCCCCATACGTGAGGCTATGCAATTTAAGTTCTTGTTTCGCTGTGATATTTACTGTTAACGTTGTTCATTAGCTAGGCAGAGAGTTACCATTTTGCTACATTGAGTAATTGATCAATATGTGTGTTTGTTGACATCAGAAATACACGAAAAGGATTTTGAATGCATAAAATGTTCTTACGTTCACTCAAAATGCAATGCAATTTGCATTTTAGAAGCAAAGCAAACAATATTTCTTTAATAATTTTATGTTGTATTAGTTAGCATCCAACATGTTTTCGATAGTAATATCTATAGGTTTTGTCGGAGTGTATCGGTCACCAGATTCGACTTCTCTCCGACAGGGTCCATGTCACGTCGCCGACCGAGCTCCAGAGATCGACACCTGTAAGCGAGTGATGGCTGCCTGGGCCATGGGAGCCTCGTCTTTCGTCTATCCTCCGGTAAGCCAAACTTTTTCGAACCCCCACCACACACACACACCTTCCTGGGTGTTTGTGTGTGTGTGTGTATGTACTCACCTAATTGTGCTTATGGGGGGATGAGCTTTGTCTCTTTGGTCCCGCCTATAAGGGAAGTGTGTGTGTGAAAAAAGTTGATTGAGAGGCGGGCCGAAAGAACAGAGCTCAACCCCCCGCAAGCACAAGTAGGCGAATACGCACAAGATTTCTTTACCTAATTGAGCTAGGCTGCGAAGGACCATTAGAACTAAGACTCACATTGTCGGATAAGTGGAGGGGGATATATAAATTACATACATTATTGTCAGGGGATTTAATGAGGTAAACAAGCAAATTAAAAAGCGTGGGGCCAGAACACAAGTTGCATACTCCAATGAACTAGGATATGTGTATCAATTGATTCAGTGTGAAGGGTTGCGAATACTTCATATTACTTCATAATGAACTTGAACGGGAGAAAGTGAAGCTTACACTATTCGTGGATTTAAATGCAGATATTATAAAGCCCAAGAAGTTTATTCGATTCAGAGTGTAGTTTTAATTTAGCTTTTAAGCTTTATATTAAAATTTACATCAGAAATTTGAAATTTCGATATAACATTGACACAACTAAGAGGACTAAAGCATACTCGCTGGTTCATCGGCAAGTTCATACCTTCATCAACTAAGGTTTAAGAAGTACAAAATGTTGGCAGAATAGTATTTAAGTAAACTTGTAGCTAAGGTAAACAAGTGTGGTAAACTGGTAATTGTGGCATATACAAAGTTAAAGAAACTGCACAGCCTAATGTAATCAGGTAAACGGGAGCGATGAATGATGAAATTATTGTATTAAATAGTGTGATAAACTGGAGATAGTGACGAGACAAACTAAAAAAAAAGTGACCCAATCATAGTGAGGTTGGTTGTGACATCGTCTGAACACACAGGATGCAGGGATGCCTATTGGCGGGCCGGACTTCAACCCTTACGTCATGCTGGAAGTTCACTACAACAACCCTTCACTAATTTCTGGTGAGTAATGGCCCCTACGCAACTCCAAACTCCCACCCAACACTTCCAAACCAACACCACAATTAACCAGCATTTCCAAACCAGCACTTCCACACCCACAACCAAAACCCCTTCAACCATCAGTTTTGTTTTATATATAGCGTTCCGAGTGCTAGTGATTTATATGTTGTGAATCAGGCTTCTTACTGTATGTGTGGTGATTTAGGCTTCTTACTGCATGTGTGGTGATTTAGGCTTCTTACTGCATGTGTGGTGATTTATGCTTCTTACTGCATGTGTGGTGATTTATGCTTCTTACTGCATGTGTGGTGATTTAGGCTTCTTACTGCATGTGTGGTGATTTATGCTTCTTACTGCATGTGTGGTGATTTATGCTTCTTACTGCATGTGTGGTGATTTAGGCTTCTTACTGCATGTGTGGTGATTTAGGCTTCTTACTGCATGTGTGGTGATTCCGGCTTCTTACTGCATGTGTGGTGATTTAGGCTTCTTACTACATGTGTGGTGAATTAGACTTCTTACTCATGTGTGGTGATTTAGGCTTCTTACTCATGTGTGGTGATTTAGGCTTCTTACTGCATGTGTGGTGATTCTAGCTTCTAACTGCATGTGTGGTGATTCTAGCTTCTGACTGCATGTGGTAATTTAGGCTTCTTACTCATGTGTGGTGATTTAGGCTTCTTACTCATGTGTGGTAATTTAGGCTTCTGACTGCATGTGTAATATTTCAGGCTTCTGACTGCATGTGTGGTGATTTAGGCTTCTGACTGCATGTGTGGTAATTTAGGCTTCTGACTGCATGTGTGGTGATTTAGGCTTTTGACTGCATGTGTGGTGATTCATTCTTCTTGCTTCATGTGGCGGTTCAGGGCTCTTGCTTCAAGTGTAGTGATTTAAAAGTAATTTTTCATTTATGATGTTTCTTGTGCTAGGTTTTCATGCGTGGTTCTTGGTACACAGTGCCTCACTTGGCTTCATATATAGGGGGTTACATTCTGCTACTGTACCCCAATGTATGTAAAAAATAGTTTTGTCCCTGAGCGAAATAATAATATGATTATGATTATTATACTTACTGCTGAAACTCACTCGAAGGAACTAGTTAAGAGATATAATGCAGTCTTGTGCAACCGCAGAAAAATTGGAATGTTTCTGTATAACTGTTTTTTGTTTAGTGTTAGACATTAGCCGCCTGATTTGCTGTTGTTTGTCTGTGTTAACTGTTAACGCTAAGCTGTGTTAGTGCAGGTCGCGTGGACAGCTCAGGGATTGCCTTGCACTACACTAATCACCTGAGACAGTACGACGCCGGCATCATGGAACTGGGACTGGAGTACAGCAGCAAGATGGCCATCCCGCCCGCCATGAACACCTTCACTCTCTCAGGGTACTGCGTGCCAGAGTGCACAGCGCTGGTCAGTACACCTTCTCCTGCTCCACTCTTTACATTCACTTGATTTTTTTGTTTAGCATTTTAAGTCTTTACGATGCATGGGGTATGTTCGCAAATCTAGCTGTTTTACTTGCAGGAGGTCAGACTTCAAAGGTTATAAAAAATAAATACCGTATATTCTTAACTAGAATAGATTTATCATTTTATTTCATCGTCTTTTCTCACTGTAGATTTTCTAAAATCATCTTTTACTCGCTGCTATAATCTCCTCTATCAATACACTATTGCATTGATCCACCACATTCACCAACTGAACGTTTCAGAAATTGCACCGCCTCAACTGCCACACAGAGTAGACAACACTTACCTACTCGTCAAAACATCAACTCTTAGCGTCTTGGAACCAACACTTGTTTCTCTTAAATGTTAAAAATAATCAAAATTAAAATATACGCGTTCATTTACACATTTTAATATTTGACAGCGAGCCTTCTCGACCTGCTTTAGCCTATTACAATACCTTACCTGCCATTTTCTGCTCTAGTACTACATATTCCCAAGCATCCGTCCTACTCCTTGTATTCTTGTAACTGAACGTTCCCTCACTTGCTGTAGGGCCTGCCGGAGGAGGGCATCTACATCTTCGGGTCGCAGCTGCACACACACCTGACGGGGTTGCGGGTGTGGACCAAGCACTTGAGAGAGGAAGAGGAGTTGCCAGAGCTCAATCGCGATGATCACTACTCTACTCACTTTCAGGAGATCAGGAGGCTACCGTCCCCCGTCCACGTCTTACCGGTGGGTGTGTGTGTGTGTGTGAGGCTACCTAGCTGTGCTTGCGGGGGTTGAGCTCTGGCTCTTTGGTCCCGCCTCTCAACCGTCAATCAACAGGTGTACAGGTTCCTGAGCCTATTGGACTCTATCATATCTACACTTAAAACTCTGTATGGAGTCAGCCTCCACCACATCACTGCCTAATGCATTTCATTTTACTTTGACGCTAAAACAAATTTCTTTCTAATATCTATATCGCTCTTTTGGGGTGTTGTTATGAACCGCAGGTAGCCTAATGACGTGAAGCTACCAGGTGAGTTATTTTTGCCCACCTGACTAGAGGTTGGGAGTCAGGGGAAGAAGAACGTTAATAGAGTAAACAATAGTGAATTATGACCTAAAAGAATACAAGCAGAGGACAAGCATCTTATAGATGCAGAAATGAGATGTCGACATTTTGTGACGTGACGTGATGCAGACGGAAGTCATGACCAGGGTTGCCAGATTGGGCTACAAGTACCGAATTGGGCTACTTTTGAAAGCTCCTCGCTCCCATATTTTTTTATTTCGCTACTTGCGACTTTTTGGGCTACTTTAAAAGCAAGTTGGGCTAGTTTGGGCTATTAATGTTAAACTGAATGATGATTATTTATACTTTTATAATGTAATGTGTACAAATCACAGCCGCGTCAAACAGCCTGATTGACTAGACCACTTACCACAGGAGGCCTGGTCAGAGACCGGCCCTCTGGGGACGTTGATCCTAGGAACCTTTGAAAGAAAAAATAATCGCTAGGCAAAGCAATCCTCCCCAGGGGCCATAGATTTCCCAACCTTAATTGTCGTTAATACTTCATCCCGAAAGTTACAGCTGGTTCCACAGATCGTCATTAAGGAGAGAACGTTATCTAGAAATGTACAGATTGATAAATGATTGTAAACATCCTTTACAGTTAATACCTTTGTCAGGAAGACGATGGTTGGCAAGGAGCGGTAGTGTAAAGTGGTTGTTAGATCACTGGGAGTCTTTAACAACTCACTACCAAATCGCTTCTTGCTCTTGTGATAAATATGTTACAAGGCAACTTTTTCAATGCACTCTGATCCCTCAATTAGCTATATTTCACATTTCTCAGACCAATCCTAAATCTTTATGAAAGTATGAATTGACTTTATCAAAAAGACGAAGCAGATCAGTGTAGCCTTCACACTGTCTTAGAAAACTTCACTCCTGGAATACTCAGAAGAATCGTGCATTCTCATCATGCAAAGCTTCATGTTAATTTGGACTACAATTACATATGTCTGCCTCTGGAGAAAGTGGACTTTGGTTACGAATTTTCAACACTTCAGGCAACTAACAGACAAAACAATTTTATAACCCAGGAAAAGTTTCAAAATATTCAAAAAAGATGCCATAATATTTATTTATTTATTTATTTATTTATTTATATATATACAAGAAGGTACATTGGGTTTGTGAGAATACATTGGATAGTACAGTATTTACATTCTTGTAAAGCCACTAGTACGCACAGCGTTTCGGGCAGGTCCTTAATCTAGCAGATAATTTTAAGTAGGTAATTTCAATCAGAATTGATAAATGATAAAGATACATTACAAGAGAAAAATGAGATGAGAGAGATAAGTAGGTATATTAAAGCACATTGTTATATTAAAGCTCTGATTAATTACATTGACAGCTTGATTAGTAATTTAAACAAGGTTAATAGACACCATACAGCAGATTGACAGCACATATAAGACAGCAATGATCACAATGGTAAAGATGTTCAGATTGGGTACATAAAGATTGGGAGACTGGGTAGCAAAAGATACAGATAAACAAGATTTATAAACACCATACAACAGATTGGCAGCACATATAAGAAAACAGCAATGATCACAATGGTAAAGATGTTCAAATTGGGAACATAAAGGTTGGGAGATTGGGTAGCAATTGATACAGTGCAATTTTAAGGCAAAAAGTGAAAAACTATGAAGATGAAATTAGGTACTTTTTAGTATTGATTTTGAATGATGTAAAAGTTGGACAGCTTTTCAATTCAGTAGGGAGTGAGTTCCATAAACTGGGTCCCTTTATTTGCATAGAGTGTTTACACAGATTAAGTTTAACTCTGGGGATATCAAAGAGATATTTATTTCTGGTGTGGTGATAATGGGTCCTATTACATCTGTCCAAGAAGAGTTTCAGACAAGGATTTGCATTTAGGAACAGGGTTTTGTAAATGTAGTTGACAAGAGAATTTGTGGAGTGAGATTATGTTTAGCATGTTTAGGGAGTTAAACAGGGGGGCTGTGTGTTGTCTGAAAGCAGAATTTGATATTATTCTGATGGCAGATTTTTGCTGGGTGATGATGGACTTGAGGTGGTTTGCAGTGGTTGAACCCCATGCACAGATACCATAGTTGAGATAGGGATAGATTAGTGCATAATATAGAGAGATGAGAGCAGAGTTAGGAACATAATATCTGATTTTGGAGAGTATACCAACTGTTTTAGAGACTTTCTTAGTTATGTGTTGTATGTGGGTACTGAAGTTGAGTCTCTTGTCTAGGAATATGCCAAGAAACTTTCCATCATTTTTATTGCTAATGTTTACATTGTCAATCTGAAGCTGAATTGCATTTGTAGATTTGCTTCCGAATAGGATGTAGTAGGTCTTTTCTATGTTAAGTGTTAGTTTGTTGGTTGATATCCATAAGTGGACTTTTTTTTAGTTCATTATTAACAACACCATTTAGTGTATGTGGGTTGGGGTTGGAGTAGATGAGGGTAGTATCATCAGCAAACAAAATAGGTTTCAGAATGTTAGACATTAGGCAGATCATTAATGTATATAAGAAAAAGAAGAGGTCCCAAGATGCTGCCCTGTGGCACTCCAACAGTTATTGGTAGAATGGGAGAGATTATATTTAATATTTAGGTGAAAGCTTGCAAAGAGCTTCTTTCTCGTATTTCAAGTAATGCTGAAACTTTAAAAATCGTGTAGTGTACTCTATATATTACTTTGAAACCTGTATCAGTCACTAAACAAAAAATTGGGCTACTCTTATTGCAAATTCGCTACTTTTAGACCCTCAGCTTGCTACTTTCAGCAATTTGGATCTGGCAACCCTGGTCATGACGCGTCACTTGAGTGGCTCAGTCCTCAGGGGTAGACGTACGTCACTGCCTCCTGGGAAGAAGGAAGCCTATAGTTCGTGGTTGTGTTTGAGTGAAGACTACAGTGTACAACTGGTGAGGACGCTGCCGAGGACACGACGTACGTCATTTGTCAGTGATCATGAAGGTATATTAGGGACGGCCTGAAGCCCGCATGGTGGTCGTATGCCTGAGTGGACCCTAATGTGATATAGAGAAAAGTAAGCAGGAGTGTTTGTGTGAAGCCTGCCAGGCGCCTTCGTAGACTTAAGTGGGGACTGTGAGAAGCTGTGAAAGGCAGTCCAAAAGGATTTTAGTGAACGATCAAGAATAGCGCCATGTTGGGGCGCTAGTGGGCGAGGGCGCCACAACGTCACTTCAGCGGTAAGCACACTTCATTAGTTGATAAATTGCTTGTTAGTGTTTGATGGTGTGCCCAGCGATCGTAGGAGACGTATATGCATATAGGTTAGAGATTTGATAAAGATAGTAAGAGTATATTAGGAGTAAAAGAAGATGAGACATGCTGAAGGCGGGAGTAGCACATGCTCGCTCGCCCGATGTCAGTGAGCGACTGAGCGGGCGGAGTCCCAGACGGACCTCGGAGGTGAATTTCGGTGTGGACTCGTCCGGAAATGGGGGAGTACCCCCCCCCCCCCCCGGCTGGCCCAGTGTGCAGAAAGGGATATCGGAAGGACAAATTTATTTCGTGTAAATAAATAAATATATATTATATAATATTATATAATATATATATATATTATAATATTATATATTATAATATATATAATATATATAATATTATATTATATAATATATATTATATATATAAATATATATATATATATATATATATATATATATATATAATATATATATATATATATATATATATATATATATATATATATATATATATATATATATATATATATATATATATATATATATATATATATATATATATATATATATATATATATATATATATATATATATATATATATATATATATATATATATATATATATATATATATATATATATATATATATATATATATATATATATATATATATATATATATATATATATATATATATATATATATATATATATATATATATATATATATATATATATATATATATATATATATATATATATATATATATATATATATATATATATATATATATATATATATATATATATATATATATATATATATATATATATATATATATATATATATATATATATATATATATATATATATATATATATATATATATATATATATATATATATATATATATATATATATATATATATATATATGTCGTACCTAGTAGCCAGAACGCACTTCTCAGCCTACTATGCAAGGCCCGATTTGCCTAATAAGCCAAGTTTTCCTGAATTAATATATTTCCTCTATTTTTTTTCTTATGAAATGACAAAGCTACACATTTCATTATGTATGAGGTCAATTTTTTTTTATTGTAGATAAAATTAACGTAGATATATAATCGAACCTAACCAACCCTACCTAACCTAACCTAACCTATCTTTATATGTTAGGTTTGGTTAGGTAGCTGAAAAAGTTAGGTTAGGTTAGGTAGGTTAGGTAGTCGAAATACAATTAATTCGTGAAAACTTGGCTTATTAGGCAAATCGGGCCTTGCATAGTAGGCTGAGAAGTGCGTTCTGGCTACTAGGTACGACATATATATATATATATATATATATATATATATATATATATATATATATATATATATATATATATATATATAAATGTGTGTGTGTGTGTTGACAAATCCACACTAGAAAATGAAGGGACGACGACGTTTCGGTCCGTCCTGGACCATTCTAAAGTCGATTGTGATGAGGGAAGGAGATGAATACAATAAATAGGTAAGAGAGAGGTGAGTAGCAAGGCAAAAGGTATGCAAGGTAAGGTGTTTGTAGATAGGGAAAGTAACAGGGAAAAAGAAGGCTCTTGGCCGTACACTTAATGACAGACTTAAAGAACACAAAAGAATTTTTTTCTACCACAGACGTGGCCACACATTTACAATACTAACCAGCATATATACATTTTCTTCTGTCCTCCATGGACAGGGTTAGAGATGTGTTAAACATATAGTTCAGGGGTTTATTGAACAATCAACCACATTCGGTGCTTTTAAAATGCTAAGCAAACCTACATACGTAAATTACATAGACACAGATTTACGTATGCCCTACATAAAGTGTTCGATGTGTCTTTTACATAGTGTCATTAATGTGCATTTACAAAGGTGAAATGTAATTCTGATCAGCTTCCATATACACTTTATACACATACATATACATACACACACACGTACATATACATATATACATACTTATATACATATATACATACTTATATACACACACATGCATTCACATACATTTGTCTCTTTTACTCTGACAGGGTGAGATAGCTGATAGAGAAACTAGCGTGCAATTAAGCACCTAATCACTAAAGGTGATTAAGGTGCTTTTACAAGCTCAGGTTATATAGTTACATCACATACATACATTGTATAATTGATACATTACATGGTCAATCTTGGGTACAAGTCCAATATATCATCAAGTGTTCCAGTATTCATATAGTAATTACACAGTTCAGCATACCTTAGCCCAGGAGGGCGAAAGTCAGTCAGTATGGGACATTCTACAATATATTGTTCATGAGAGTGCATGTTTTCTCTTTCACAAAGTTGACACATTGTGTACTCGACATTTGGATTTTAAGAAAGCTACCAGATACGTCTATATCCCAGGCGTATTCTGGCCACTATAACATCACATTGCCGGGTTTTTGTTCTACAAAAGCAGTGTTAAGTCTTCAGACACTAACAATGCTCTCTTCTGTCATGTTAGGGATTCTAATCATCCTATTGATTGGTCTTCCTCCAAAATAATCTTTCCTGCCTCTACTCTACACAGACGCCGTCTTGTTGAATCGGCTCTAATACACAATGTACCCAACATGAACTTGAGTCCTGGCTTTGTTGCTGTGGACTCTTCCCTTTCACAGTATATACTCAAATGATGTAATCTTTCTAACAAACGTGACCTTACATAAGCTTACCCTTCCATTTATCTTTCTTTCTCTTTCCTTTTTCGTTTTCTGTCCATTATTTTCTGCTACGATCCCTTGCTATCTTCTTCTTATTCCATTACTATCCCCTTCTTATTGGGTGGTTATAATTAAGATCTGCCTCGTATGGGCCAATAGGCCTTCTGCAGTTACCTTTGTTCTTTTTCCTGTTACTATCCCCTCTACTACTAAGCCCGATTTACCGAATAAAACGAGAGATTTTCTTTATTTTCAATTAATTGTTTCTTGTTGGTTTATTTTAAATATTATTATATTGTTATAGTGTACAGGAGACCTTAACCACTCGACCATCACGACCGCCATCAGAAGTCAAAGGTGCAAAATATATATTACCTCGCATGTCTCTCCCCCAGGGCGACGCGCTCATAACTACCTGCGAGTTCTCGACCACGTCGCGAGACAACGTCACTGTGGGAGGGTTCGCGATCAGCGACGAGATGTGCGTCAACTACGTCCACTACTACCCCAAGGTGGAGCTCGAGGTGTGCAAGTCCTCAGTCGACTCCGCCACCCTCATCAGCTACTTCAAGTTTATGAACAGGTGGGCACCGGACAGGCCACAGGGTTTTGTGTTCTTTCCTTTTATTTTTTACGTTCGGTGCACAGTGCGCTGTGCACAGTTGTTATTATTATTAACATCTTTATTGACAAAATTAATTACAATTTTGCTTAATCTGAGGATTTTGATAGTCTTATTAAAGTGAGGATAATGCTGGTATTCACTGTCACGCAGGACAGAGGATCATGCATAAGACAATAAGTCTAAATCGGTGCACAGTGCGCTGTTCTAAAGGCAGTGTAGCCTGGGTACGATATAGGTCAATACAGATATAAAACTGTTTCTCCATTGGATTTTTTTTTTACTTAAAACCTAGCTTATCAATCATAAACACATCTATCCTAACATGACAATATATAAGCTTTAAACAAATATAAATCATACCTCGATTTATATTTGTGTACGATTTGATCCTACCTTCTCCAGAACACCCAGGTAGGCGGAACCTGAAACTCACACTTATCATGTTTATACTTGGTATTGTACCGAGGTGTTGCGTCCATGCTGCTTCCAGAGAGTAGGTAGGATACCAAAAGGTGTATCTCGGCTTCTCGGTGTATATACACTAAGTTTACATTAGTTGTGGACTATGTCCAGGATGAAATTATACGTGCTGGTGGGTCAGTAATAACATGTAGGCATTAATAACTCTTACCCAGGTTGGTAAGCCTGATTTATGCCTTAAGCATAAATCCCAAGTCAAAACTCTTATGAAAAGAAAGAAAATTAAATTGACATTTTATACAGTTACACAGAACAAAGGGGAACCACAATTAAAAAACAAAAATGAATATAAGAGCTTAACAGGTGGATATTGATAGGGATTTAAAACTCTAAGCCTAAATTAGAACGCAAAACAATTGCTTCAAATTGGACATGTTGAAATTTAGACAAGAAAGAGAACAACACTTAGATATTGAGTTACAGATTTGCAGACCTGTGTAATAAACTGGCGAATAACATGTTTCAACAGGAATGTTTGAATCACAGGTTGCATAAGTGATTTAGTGGTTGTAGTTGAAGACAAATATTAGCATGGTATCAACTTATCTTTTGGATATCACTTCAGCATTATGTTCTAATGCTATTAGTGTTGGTTAAAACGTGTTTTGATCTCTTACGTGAAATAAACAGCTCCATATTAATGATAATAATATTTGTATTGATAAGTGTATTAACAATTATCATGACATGGCAACAAACGTCATGATATAACAGCAAGCATAGTGAATCACCACATAGTTTTCATTATTATTATGTAGTTGATCCAAATGACAGTGATAATGCTCTCCAGTATTGATCTTCGTGAGCGGTAATGAGAGGTGTGACCATCCGCAGGTGGGAGCTGCAGGAGACGTCACCTGAAGAGGGCTGGCGGGAGAACTACCAGCACATCCGCTGGACGCCCCTACGCTCCGGCATGCTGGCCGACCTCTACCTCAACTCTCCCATCTCCATGCAGTGTAACAAGTAGGTCCCGGCCCTCTTGCACCTTCAGTGCCGCCGTCTGATGATAGTTACAGTGGGAGGAGATGGAACGATGGTTCCATCTCCCTCCCCTCCCCAAGGGGGGAGGGAGATGGTCAGCTTAAACTAAATGAGTGGTTGAAACCTCGGAATCATTTATTATTTTACTGTACTAAATTGTTATTTATGTACAGTAGTTTACGAAGATACTATTAAAGACACAAAGAGTATTATAAAATTCCCCATACCTGTGTAAAATTGGCATTCTTCAAATTGGCATTCCATAGGTTAGGATACGTGAATAGGCTTGCTAACTTACCACTGAAAGCATGTATTTGAAATGTAAGGCATTGGTACAGCCTCCTTAAATTGCCCATAAGTACCATCGTACAGCTTATACCAGCACGGTCTTGTAAGATAAGTGAAACAAGATTATAGCTTAAGAGCGAAGATTTTGGGCAGATATCTACTTAAATAGCTTGGCTGGAAGTTCGAACCCAAATCAGTGTTCTTTATATGTATAATTTTTTAGGTACCACATTTGATTACACTCGTTGGGTGGGGGAACCCTTCATATCCGAGAAGTGAATCTACGGCACATGGGGAATGCTCCCACGGATGTATATGAACTTCTATATTGTCTCCTACCACCTCTCAATTATTTTAAGAAAGCAGCAAATGTGTGAGCATGAGTATGATTTAATATATATATATATATATATATATATATATATATATATATATATATATATATATATATATATATATATATTATTAAATATGACCGAAAAAGTAAGATTAATAATTCTAAGTAAGATTAATAATCTTACTTTTTCGGTCATATTTAATAATATATGTCTACAGGAAAGACTGCTACCAAAATATACTATATATATATATATATATATATATATATATATATATATATATATATATATATATATATATATATATATAAAATTTATACAGCTTCAATTATATTGCACATGGCATACTGTGACAATAATTCACGTCTTTCCCTAGTAATCATAAGCTATTAGCGAGAACTACTGGGATGAAACCCACGGTTGCAGAGGTACCTAGATTCTCATACCACATAAGTATTTCCTTCATGTTAGTGTACCGTATAGTTACGAGTAATTACGCCCCGCAGGTCATCAGGTGCGCGGTTCCCCGGCTACTGGGAGAACATTCCGATCCCCCTCCCTCTCCACCCCCTCCCGGAGAATCAGAGAAAATGTAACCAGAGCAGGAAGATCATCAGAGAAAACGATGATTTGGAGGGAGACTCCTTTTTAAAATAAACTTTCCCGGCTCGTCAGGAAAAAAAAAGACAAGAGCAAGATGGTTAGAGAAAACAATGTCGTGGAGGGACGCACCTTTTTACAATTATATATCCCCATAGTATGTTTATGTCGTGGAAAAGTGTTTAGTCTTAGTGTGTGTTTTTAGTAGATTATGTAATTAGGGTGATTAGGGTGAGTTATAAAGTTTATTTGTTTAAGGTCAGTCCATTTCATTTGATGAATTCATTGAATTATTAAGCACTATATCAAGTATCTGATGCAATTTAGGAAATAAGAACATAATTGTTGTAGTCCCTCATAGGTCACCAATATATTCTCCAAATAATGGAATCGCTAGCTGTCTTAGTGTCAGGAGTAATGGGGAAACCTTTGACAAATCGCTGGCTTCCTGCTCCCGTTCATGTCACTAGAGATGGAGGTCCTCAGGTAAATTCAGATAAGCCACTTTAAATTTATTGGAACCTTGTTAATTCCATTCTACCCTGATGGTGTTGATGAAGCAGCGAGATAAATAAAGGGCTAGAACAGTGGTCCCCAACCTTTTTGGACTCGCGGCTTTATTTTCTAATACTCAAATGATCTGTGACCACACTTTCATAATTGAAAAAAATTGTCTAATCAGGATACTCATCACTTGCTAATTCGCGATTGATTCACATATGCTAGTATTCAGGATTTGGGTTCTGCGACCCACCAGAAAACATACCCACTTGTTGGGAACCACTGCACTAGAGGATTAGCAACAGTATTTCCGAGCTGTCAGAAGTGACTTATCAGCTGGTATCCAACCATCACAGAAGATTATTGATGTTCTGGTGTCATAATGTTGTATGGAGAGGGAATATATTTACTAAAATGAGAAATCTGCTTATTTCCCTTGGACGATATTTGGTGTATTACAATTAAAGTTTCAGCAAGTGTATTGACTCACAACCCAAAGGTCCAAGGTTCGATTCCCACGGCAGCACAAGAAACGTTAGCTTTCACCTGATTCCTCTGCTAAACTAAAAGTAAATTGGTGTCCGGGAGTTAGGCAACTGTTGTGGATTGCGTCCTGGGGAATGTCAGTATTTGGCCGAGAGGGACCTCGATAAGCTTAACAGGCTTTCTGTCTCAGACAACGAAAATCAACCGTATACATACACGCCATCAACGTATTTTGAGACAGCCTGGAAAACGAACCTTGACCAAATAGTATGAGCTTCTGACTAGTGTGGATGATGTAGCTGGTTCTGGCTGAGAGCACAAGAGATAGAGAAACAAAGGTAAGGCAATTATGAGGAGAAAGTGCCGAGTCAGCATGACTATATAGCAATTGGAAGGGAAATGTGGACAAGGAGCTAGGATAGGACAGAAGGAATGGTGCCCAACTACTTGGACCATCTGGAATCGAGCACCGACCTGCAAGAAGCGAGGTCTTCACTGTACCGGCGTGCAGTGATTGGAGAGAAGTAAATATTCAGAATAGTGTGTTGGCGGTTCTTCGCTTTAAATGGATTTGAGATTTTAGAGAGAACCCTCACATATGTTCAAGAAAATATTTAAAGTATTGAATTCATAATGACATAATTCCAGAAATCTTGGCCTCATATCCCAAGTTTGTCTACGAAAGGTAGTACATGTATGTGACTAGGCTTTTCACCCCTGCCTCTCCACCGGTTGGGCATGGGGGTGCATATTAGCTCTAAAAATCATTGAAATTCAATACCTGACCACATTATATGGCTCCTTTCTACTCACAAGATGGATCTGGAAGCCTTACTAAACTCTTTATCTGGAAAGAACAGAATATCATGTTAAGGAAGCACATCAACTGAATTATTTTCGTGTTTTTGTTTGTGTCAAATAACACTGGTTACTGTCAAGGTTTTCGTTGCTGGAACCAAACATGACATTCAGTGCTTCATCATCATAATCATCTCAAATCTTATGGAGATCTATTTATATTTTGTTGAAGCTGATAAATCTATTTTGACCCTTTTGTTGTGCCTTACTACAACAAATTCCTAATACTGTACGTTGGATGACGTTAATTTTCATGGATTTTCCGAGGCAAATGACGTCGCACTAGTGTAGCTAATATTGTCAAGATCCTACTTATTACTACAGTATATATAGTTGGAAAACAATGAATTTGATGTCATTTGGATCTCCATATTGGAAGTCGCAGCGTACAGTTGCAGAGCATGAGAATAAAGGCATCTGCAGGTCCCTTTTTTTCTAGCACAGACCTACGAGGCAGCATAAAGCATATCGTAGTTCAACCCGATCTCGCACTTTCTTATAGTCAATATTGACTTATTAAATACGTGCATATGTGACATACTAATTTATTGTGAATATTTTAGTTTACCTTGAAAAGCTTCATAGAAAACACCGACCTTACCTAACCTTCTTAGTATGTTAAGATAAGAATCTTATTGCTTTGTAATTACAATTATTACTTAACCTATATCTATAATTGGTTAAGTAATAGTATGTCATATATGCACTTATTTAATAAATCAATATTGACTTAAAGAAAGTTCGAGAACGGGTTGCGTGGTGGGTGGGTTAAGCGCGCACACCTCGAGTGACCCAGGATGCGGGTTTGACCCCGCCGTCCGGCCCCACGTACTTGTTCCTATATATATGTGACGTTATTGTGGCATTGTGTATCATACCTACCTACCTACCTACCTTGAGGTGCTTCCGGGGCTTAGTGTCCCCGCGGCCCGGTCGTTCATTCATACATGTCCGATCCTTGGCTTGAAACAGTCCACTGTTCCCTGATGTGATACCTGAAAACTATAGTTCCATAAATCAACAACCTTATTGTTTTATGGAACTGGAACTCCATAAATATACGCTTGTTTTATTGGTAAAACAAACTACAGTATATGTTTTTTACAAATAACTGTGGTATATGCTTATATTCTATTTACTATTTACTTTTTTTTTCATTATAGACTTCTCCATGAAACATTTTGGACATGAATATACGGTATACATTATATACTAATGACAAAATTCGAATTAAGATGAATATCATACTTGAAATATGATATACGGGGTAATGCAAAACGAGTATATACACATATACATATTTACAGCCTAGCTACTGATGAAGGTCTGGCGGTTGAAAACGCGTTTTAGCAGTCTTTATTTTTCAGCGTACTGAAAATTGTATATTGTTTTCAGCGTATATATTGTGCTGGTCTGCTTCCAAATACAAAAGTTGAATTTGAATGTTAAAACCCGTATTTGAAGATGTCAATATTCCTCATTTAAAAGTGGAGAAAACATCCCATAGAGTTTAATAATTACATTTCGGTTTTGAGGTAATTTTACCTCCACCTCTCTCGTGTGTATGTATGTGTTATTACGCGTTAGTGTGAATCCTGTATTTTAACTACTACTATTTCCTCACTGCTGGTAGTGGTACAAGGACTGGTGCAGCTCCTGCTGGCGAATTAATATACCCCATGGCAATGGTACATCTGTATGTACCATAATGGTTGTACAACAAGAAAATCATTAAATTCAAACGGTGTGAGATGTTTTAGTATGTTTCGAGTCTGACCCCAAGCTGGTCTTGGGGAGTAGAAGAACCCACACCCTTTCTAGGTGTGTTATTTGATTTCTGTCTGGGTAAAAATGATTTTTTTTTTTCAAATCTTTTAACTTTATTTACAAACGAAATTTACAAGTTCAAATAAATGTAATCATTTTAATACACTGTACAGTATTTACAAAATTGCACAAAAATCTCACAAAATAGTTGTATAAAAAATTACAAGTAACATTAAATAGTAAAAAACTTGTCATTTAATGCACAGGAGTGACTAGAGGCAAATCAATATTCTACCGACACATACTAGGAGAACGGTGTTCTAAACCCCCCACTTGAACCCCTGGAGCCTTCCCTATAAGAACTTGGGGGTCCAAGTAAATAGCTGTGCAACACTGAATTCACAGGCTGCTGTAATACTGATCAAGATTTAACTGAAGTTGAAATACTTAAAAAGTCTTTCTTGAGTTTGTAAGAGTGTATAGAGACGTTGAGGACTTGTGGAATGTGTTCAGTAACTGTGTCACTGTGCCATTGCTCCTGTACGGTCGGTCTCTCCCAACCTCCTGTGTTCTTCCACTAAATTTGGCACTTCGTCTCATGCAGGTCCACATAGTCTATGTTTGTCCTGCATGTGGCACCTTCTCTCGTCAGCACGCACAGGATCTCTTGTGCTCTTTAACGTGGCTAGGATTTCACTGACATTGCCTCCCACACCACCACAGTTCATATCTACTACAGTCCCAATAAGTGGCACTTTTACATTAACAATTGCCCATTTCCTCAGCTATGGGACATGTTAGCAGTCTTGTTATACACACATGATTCTGTATCTGCTGTTTAAATTAAAACACATTTGCAACTAATTTAACCACTGAACCTGATGTTCAACTCACAGCGTGGTCTCACTACAAGAATATCACATAGTAATTGAGTTGGGTAAAATCACTCTTGTGTAAAGTAGTAAGCTTAGTCAGACATCTTTTTTTTTACACTTAAGGCACTTTTGGGCTTTAAAATAAGTGAAATAAATGAGCAATGTGTTTTACAGTCTAGATTCAGTGTATTTCCAGCACACACTGCTACAACTGCTTCAATTATCCATAATGTATTTAAGCATATAACTATCATTAATAATGCCATTAGGTGTGACATAGTCAAACTCTTAAACGCAGTTTACACCATGGTCACATTCCGGATGCGTTTTTCCGAGGCGACGGAGGGAGTAGAGGAGTGTGGGTCGAGGGAGTTGGTGTCATATATATAAGGCTCTGGAGTGTATAGCACTTTGGGTTTGGGTGGGATGGGTGGTGGCACTTTGGTGGACCTCAGGGAGGAGTCGTAAGAGGGGTAAGCAGCATAGGCTGGAGGTCCATTGGATGATGGCAGCAGATCACATGACACAGAGAGGAAAGAATCAGATGGCTGAGAGCTTATGTAGGAACGTGTCTCAAGAGGTACAGGATATGCTTCATTTGGGAAGCCTTCAGCAGAAGTTGGGTAACCTTCAGTGGGAGTGGGATAGCCATCACTAGGGGTTGGGTAGTGGTCTGGGAAGCCAGAGTGGCGATACTGGTACTGGTTTGCATCTCCGTAGTAGTCCATGGCACCAGAAGATCCCCCATAACTCTTCTTGGTGGAGGCACTGTGGTCAGAGGTGTTATCTGAACGTGCTGACACACTTCCTCGCTTACTGTCTTGGTGGCTGCTGAGCAGCTGAGAGGCAGACCATGACTCTACAGGGCTGATATATTCCTTCTTCATACCATCTTTAGATGCCTCTTTTGCATCGGGAAAATCTGTACCTTTAGATGCAACAGTGACAGTGACACTATAAGCATCTGGAGCTTCATGGACCTTCTTAGCAGCAGCAGCTTTGCGGTGACGCCGATGAGCAGCAGTACAATAGCAAACAACTATTGTTACCACCACTATGAAGCCACCAATACACCCAAATACAACAGCCAACTGTCGATTATCAAGAGCAGCCAAAACTGGGGCCCCTGAACCCTCCTTGACTGCTGATGTGTTAGCAGGGGCAACAGGTGGTGCTAAAGATGGGGGAGATGGAGTAGTAGTGGGTGGAGCAGGTACATACACTGTAACGATGTTACTGAGGACAGCTGTGTTACCCTCCTCATCTACAGCATATAGTGTGAGGTAGGTGACTGTGTCATACTCCTGCCAGGTTATGGTGTGCTGCTGCACTGCAGGGGAGGCCAGCGGTGCAGGCCATCCTTCCAACAGAGTGCCACCACCTTCTGCCAAATCGTGTTGGTTCTGTGATGCCATCACAACATAGCGGTCAGCTGTTCCATAGTCCAAGTCGCCTCCTGGAGCTGTCCATGTAAAGCCCACCTGGTTGACAGTGTCTGGGAGGAGAGTGGCACGGAGGTCAACCACTCGGGATGGCGGAAGAGCATCACGGGCTGGCGGCATTCCCATAACATCCACTATGCCCAACCGCACGTGGCGCACAAACTCATTGCCTTCAATCTCGCCATGAACATGCACAGTCACACTGTATTTGCCTGCCACCAACCCTGGCACATACCGAGAGTACACACCATCACCTTGCGCCATGTCCGGACCTGGGAATGCAAAGCAAATAAATTTAGATATACAGTACTCTACCAATAAATCATGTACAAATATATTAAAGCCTATTATATATAATATATTTTATATACAATTATGCAAATATGCTAAATATGGTATTAGAAACAGTACACACAAGAGTGGAAACTGACTTGTTAAACCATTGTCGAACAAGCTGACATCAAGTGGAGTGTGTTGTGTGCCATTGTTGGTGAAGCCGAGCCTGATGATTTTGGCAGTGACAGTGGCACCTTCCACTCCAGCCACCCCTGCCACTACTTCAGTGTAGAGAGCTAAAGGTCTCGAGATATCAGTGGCATTAACCAGTCCCATGGCATGACTTATCCAAGCCCTCGCATTAACGCGGGGTGTCTCAGGGCGTGGGCGTGGGCGTGAGGTGACCTGCACATAGAGAGCCTGATGAGAGTCGGCACGATTTGCAACCTTATACCGCCATAGTCCAGGTGTGACCTGTGCTTCCACCAGCCGTACGGTAATCATGTTTATATTGGCATCTTCCTTCTGCATATTGGCTGTGTCAATGACTTGGCCTTGAGGACTCACTAGGTGAATCAGGTTACCAACATGAGTAACATCATAGTAAAAGATGGCAAAGACTGTATCTGCACCCAGAGCTGGGTCAACAAGAAAGCTGCCCTCAGACACAGGTACTCTACCTCCAGGATGTTCAGCTGAATGAACCTTAACTGGAAGAGCAGAACGTCCAGCAACAGCACTCAGGGTGTGGTACAAGGAATCTAAGAGGTTGTAGTACATTCCCAGCTTTGAGTCTGCACCAATTCCCTCATCAGGAACTATAAAGGTGTGACCACCAGATCGTATTGCCAATGATTCCAACCCTGCATTAGGTCTTGGGTATTTCTCTGTGTGTGGGTAAATGATGACATGGAGTGACACTCTGGCATCTGCCAGCATGTGCATAGCTTCAGTGGCCTCAGATTCCCTGAGGGTGCCACTCCCACCTCCACCTGTCACCATCACTACATGACCACCGGGACCATCATGATGAAGTAGTTGAAGGGCCTCACGCAGGCCACACATGACACACCGCTTGTGTTCACCCTCCTGGGATGGGTTGCGGGGCAGTGAGGAGCCCACCTTCTCTCTGGTAGCTCCATCTGTGAGTGTGGTCAGTGGGTACTTGGTGGCTGCAATAGAGTCAAATACAACCATACCAACGCTGTAACCATCAGGAACATCATATGTCACCAGCTTCCTCACAGCCTTGCGCATGAAATCCCAGCGTTTCTGAAAGAAAGTTTAAAGTCAATAAATATTATAAATGACTATACAATACATCTCTGCAACTATTTCAATAATATTTTTGCCTGCTGTATCCATGCATGCAATGCATAAACAGATTTAATGATCAGTATGAATAGAAGTCGAGCATCCATTGCTTGCATTGGATTAAGCAACTGTATCCTTTTGCATGAAAGAGGCAAATGCTAAAATGATAATACTCCAGCTGATACATGTCAATCCTATTTTTGGCAAAGCTTTACCTCGGTTATTTCACTTTACAGTTATTTTACTATTTCTGTAATGGTTGTGATCTAGGAGTTAGTCGAATATAAAGAATTATATAAAATACTCTAAATTAATTAGATACAATATACAGTATACTAATGTATAAGATAAGCTGTAGTTAAGTAAGGTCTGGTTGACATGCTTAAAGGTATCAAAGGAGAAGAAACTGTACAGTGTCTCTTAAGAGGAGATAAGAGAATCATAGGCAGGCAGGCATGAACATGGTAGCTGCTCGCTAGATTTTTATGACCAGAGTGTAAGCCAGGTGTAACTGTGACTTTGAATACACTTCCTGACTGTCTTTCTCACTATCCCACCCACTCACTTGGCCATAGGGATGAGACTTACCTGTACGTTCATAACATTGGTGTCCTCGATGAGGAGAATGATCCTGGGGGGGCGAGCTCGCACGTATCTCACCACCAGCTCACTCTCACTCAGTCCCCCTTCCACGTTCCTACGGGTGCAGTAGTAATTGTAAACATCATATTTTGTAAACTAGGAAAATTTAAAGGTACAACCATTTATGAATAAAGATCTTTTAATTGAATCACATTGACTGCGAATGGAGCACCACGTATCACACAAAACCAGCCACACATTACATGTGGTTATACTTTTAGAAGTTGCCTATATGAGGTGTGTCTAGTAATTAATCACTCGTAAAATCTTTAACACAGATGCAAACACATCTGTGTTTATTATGTAGGTTATATAAGCCACATGAGGCTTCTCTTGTGATAAATTGATCAGTAAGACTATTCCTTACAGTGGCCCACATAGTCATATAGCCACCTAGAAAATAATTAGCAGTTCTTACCTATTGTTTTGGAAGTCGGGACTGGCCCGCATCACCTCCCATGCCGACTTGCCCGAACAGAGGAGATTGTGACGGGTTGGGGCGTCACGGTCATGGCTGCCTTCATCACACAGTTCAGTCACCTGGAACACAATCAGAACACAAATGTTGAGAACTGCTTGAACACCATCTTCAGATGCTAAAATATGTGTAACATCAATCAGTGAATGAAATGTGTGGTTATTGGTATCGATACAGCATGTAGCATGATCTTCAGATTCTGTGGAATACACCCAGCCATTTTTTTTTGCACGGGGGCATACCTGGAGAGAGTCTCGAGAGTTCTACTCCCCAATCCGGGTCTGAGGCCAGTCTCGACTTGTGATAACTTGGTCCAACAGGCTATTACTTGGAGCGGCCTGCAGTCCCACATATCCAATACAGCCTGGTTAGTCCGGCACTTCTTGCAAGAACTTGTCTAAGTGCCTCTTGGATTGGGCATTTATGCATTTACTTACACAACCTGCTCATCTTCCCTTAATCATGGCTGCTTTGTTTCCATTTGTTAAATTCTTTATAAGCTTCGAAACTCCACAACCCAATGTTATTATTATTATAAACAACCTCATGGTGATTTAGAGTTCATAGCCTGTTTAATAAATGTAAACAAAAGCACCATGAATAAGAAAAGGATGTACAGGTTTCGTAAGTGCCTGTCTAAATGTTTGATGAATCCTGGCCCAGCAGTAGCCTAGGGTGGGGTGCCTTGGGGTGCCACATGATCAAGGCGAGGTAGTGGGAGCCTCCCTGGTGACTTTATACCCTAATCAGCGTAGTAACTACCCAGTTATTTATGAGTGCAGTTAAGGGTAGTGCTGGAAACTCAGTTATTCATGAGTGTGGTTGAAGGGTGGTGCTGGAGACAAGTTATTCATGATTGTGGTTGAGGCTGGTGCTGGGGAGCGTGTTTCTCACTATCATTACCATAAATCAGAGCGGGGCACCAGCGCAGTCATGACACTTATCACAATACTATATAAGTATTGTATTGTGAGGTAGTCAAGGGGTAGCAACCGTGTTACTGTGAATGTGATGTTCTCTCGTCAGTCCACAACACAAAACAACAATGACAACGTCTCCAATTATTCAACAAATCTCCGGAAATATCCAACACCACTATAATCAAATGTTCTTTCAGTGTATGTATTTTTTTTTAGAAAATTAAGTGTGTGGGAGCAACGGATGAAGCAGATATTCCCAGGTAACAGAGAAGACTCGCTCTGTCGAGTTGAGGCTTTGAAAGTGTCATCAGGAGCGTAGACCAGCCAGCTGAGATTAGTCTGGAAGCTTGATCTGTGGTGAAGCTTGAAAATACAGAAGCAAGTTTTGTTTAGTATTAAACAGAACTAAAACAGTAACACAAAATGAGGGCAAGCCCAATAATACGGAATTGCGTGTTTGAGAATAGCGCGGGTCCCAGCGCTTGCACTCCGTAACGCAGCCTCTGCTGGGAGGTGACGGTCGGGGGCTCCCACAAGGAGGTCACACTCGCACTAATTTATGAAGCCAATTACTGGAGGAGACCGACCTCTTCCCCTCTCTCCTCACCCCTCATTCTCTCTGTGTCACTCCAACCCCCGTCTTCTCTAGCCAGAGGAGCAAGATGATGAGAAGGATAAGAGTTCGAGATGGAAGTAAAAAGGAGCAGGTACAATCTTACCATCTCCTTTTCTCCATACCAACTTGCACACCCCAAACATTCACCTCATCCACCTCCCCATCTTAACCCCACTTCCTCTACCCTCACCTCCAGGACATCTCTCCCACCCTTCCTCTGGCAGTATGCAAGTGAATTAACTAGACGTGACTTCCATGTTGGTCTTTGTTCAACCCCGCCACCGCGCACGACTCTCCGCTCACACTCCCCGTGCGCCCTTTGTCACCGCTTTGCCCTATACGACCGAGCAGTCACCTAATGTTTACACACCTCGTAGACGGTATGAATATCCAGATTTGGGTTGTGCTTCCCGTTCCTTATGAATGCCAATAAGAACGTCCTTGGGGTTGTATAATGTGTACCTCGCTCCATTGGTGACGAGAACAAGTATAGCGTCTGCATCGACAAATATGTCATGCACGAACCATTGATTGCGAAGAACCACACCAGTTTACATGGGTGCAGCGGTCACCACCGTCAAGAGTTCAGTGATTGCAAGTTAACGTGTCGCTCATCGCCCTAAGACAATCATTCACCGCTAATAGGTCAGGCCAAGTCACGGAGAAGCAACAATTAAAATCTTGAGTGTGGGTGCAGTGTTTACGAAGTCAATCATGCTTAACCGCACACACTCAGCCTCCTGCCACAACAACACCGCCATGAGGCACCACGGTTACCACAGTGCCTTCAACACCATCAAAAGAAGTCCATCGTTACTCATTATTAAGTCCATCGTTACTCATTACAAGTCCATCGTTACTCATTATTAAGTCCATCGTTACTCATTACAAGTCCATCGTTACTCATTATTAAGTCCATCGTTACTCATTACAAGTCCATCGTTACTCATTATTAAATTTATGGCACCAAGTAATCAGAATGCAATATAACATTAAAGAACCTGATTCCTCATAAACCAACTAACAATAATAAGCTGTGTAAATTTAAGAGCCAATCAAGTAGCAGCTCTGTGCCATTGTTGCAAACACTACCTGCCAGTTAAAGTGTTTTGTGGTAGGTGTTGCAAGTAACGCTGGTACATGCACAGAAGATGACAAATATTACTGCGGGGGTGACGAATACCAAAGGGGTGGCAGGGGAACCAAAGGGGCGGGCCAGAGAACCAAAGGGGGTGGCCGGAGAACCAAAGGGGGTGGCCGGAGAACCAAAGGGGGAGGGCTGGAGAACCAAAGGGGGTGAACCAAGGGAATGGATGGAGAAACAAAATCTTGTTTCAACGGAGCTGCTCCTGGACCACATCTTACACATTAACTACTTTGATAATACACGTAGGGGAAAGGGGGACGGGATGTGCATAGATTTACAGTACACTACGCTGCAAATACTCTATTGGTCCAAAGGTATTCAGTTCGACGATCACGTTCCCAGTAACGTGATCGTCCAACTGAATGGTCAAATTCGGACCAGACAAATATAAACAAGGATCAGACGCTTGTCGGTGTTTCCCTACACTTAATGCTTCCATGGTAGGAAATGGCAACCCGGGGTTATAGGTAACTGTTGTATCCTGTAGGAGGTCAATTGCTGGCCTAGGAAGAACCCCCTCCCCCCCCCCCCCCCCCGTAAGCTTAATAGGCTTCGCGTCTCCGGTAATGGGAGACCATTCGGGATCCTCAGGTCATCCGCTTATTAACAAACATGGCCAATATAAAGCAAACTGTTAGAGAAGGGACTTACCGTTGACAACTCTGGAAAGGCCATGAAGGAACTGGTGAGACCCTGGTTCTCCTCCTGGGAGGGCGTGAAGGAGCAGGAGAGGCTGTTTGGGTCGCAGCTGGGGTTGGCGGCGATTCTGACGTTGGCACAGGTGTTGGGCCTCCAGGAGGCGTCGGGGGCACGGTAGTGGGGAGGGAACACAGGGCTCCCCACCTCTCCTCTCTCCCCAAACACCCCATACCGGTATTGTAGCCACTCGTGAGCCAACAGACGACCTGAAAAAATTGTTAATTTAGAACATGTGTTATTAGCACAATTATCTGCATTTGCTCGTCCGTATCTTGAGACGAGTAACTGCGTCTAACAGCCTGGTTGATCAGACGACCCACCAGGAGGCCTGGTCAGAGACTGGGCCGCAGGGACTTTGATTTCCGGAACCAACAATAGGTAGAATGTAGGCGTAGTGATCGTATTAACTACTTGAGTTACTACACAGTACGTCAGTTTATATGAATAGACCATCTGATTCTAAGATCAAACTTATATGTAACCTCAGTACCCAACCGTAAGTCTGTGGACAAACACTTTAGCCTTACAAGAGGAGGAGAAGAGAGCTATTGTGTCTGGAGATATACCAACCAGCCTGTCGTCAAGCTCACACGGGCCAGCCAGACATAGGCTTAAACTCTCAGTCATAGGCTTAACCCTCCGGCCATTCCCACACCTTCCCAAGACGGTGTTGAATTATGATTTTCCGACAGGCGTTACACACACTTGTATACTACTTATGTTAGACCCATCCTGGAATATGCAGCTTTAGAACAAATCCATAAGGGCCGTGACGAGGATTCGAACCTACGTCTGTGAGCATCCCAGCCTGATCTGTGAGATGTGAGCTCTAGCCTGGAACCCATATCTAGTTAAACACAAGACAAAGTTACTAGAAGATTTAAGGGTATGCCACTAGACAAGTCCCGGAACTGAGAGGTATGAGAGCTGAGAGAGATGATTTCGGGCTTAGCGTCCCCGCGGCCCGGTCCTTCACCAGGCCTTCTTTTTGTTACACCCCCCCCCCCCAGAAGTAGCCTGAGGCAGTTGTTTAACTCACAGGTACCTATTTACTGCTAGGTAACAGGGCCATCAGGGTGAAAGAAACATTTTGCCCATTTGTCTCCACCTCCACCGGGGATCGAACCCGGAACCTCAGGACTACGAATCCGAAGCGCTGTCCACCCAGCTGTCAGGCGCAGTAGTTAACAAGTGGAATACATTAGGCAGTGATGTGGTGGACGATGGATGACTCCTACACAGTTTCAAATGTAGATATGATAGAGCCCAATAGGCTCCGGAATCTACACCAGTTGATTGACAGTTGAGAGGCGAGACCAAAGAGCCTAAGCTCAACCCCTGCAAGCACAACTAGGTGAGTACACACACACACACACACACACGGTGTCTGCGCCGTGTTAAATCAGCCAAACACGAGTCCATATGATGTGACACAGACATTGACGGATGAAGTCACATCCGTCCGTTATCTCACCACTAACTAATGAGTCTATATTCTCCTGTCCTGATTGATGTTCAGCGCTGTTCACGCAAGAACAAATCCCGGGTTTTCAAGGGATCAACTGAATCCTCTTCGAATTGCTTAAAGTTCAACAATATAATTCAGGGCCTATGTTTACTGGACGACTTACTGCCCCCCCTTCCCCTGAAGCTGTAATGCACGATACATACCAATCCCTGAAGCTATATACTGGACGACAAACTTGCATGGGGAGTACAGGTCGATCATGGGGAGTACAGTATAAGAACTCTCGGAACCCTCTCCCCAGGATCCACGTAGGGTGCAGTCGCACCTCCACACATCTCCAGTATCAGCTATTGATACTGGTAATGGCTCCCAAGGGCCACCACTTACGAGCTATTCATGCCCGTGCCACCTTTTGGGTGGCTTAATCTTCATCAATCAATCATCCCTAGGATGTTAAATACACCGACAAACCACACAAAAAATGACTAAACACCTCGACAACTCCCTTCCTTAGAGGGGTAGGGGGGGGGCTACTCCTCTAAGGTTTGTATATCCAGCGGTGGACCTGTTCCAGGGCCCGAGTCCCGCCTAGTGAGGAAGTTGCGCTCTCCGCCAAATTTTATGATTTGCGGGGAAATGAGAAATGTAACAAGACAATTCAGGTCTGTCGAAATTTGTTTACCTCGCGATCCTTCAGTGTTTACCTCGTGTTCTGCTAGGTTTACCTCGCACACCCAATGTTTACTTCGAGCTCTGCGGCGTTTACAAAGCGTTCTAGGTTTATTTCGCACATTCGATATTTACTTCACGCTCTGCTATGTTTATCGAACACATTCGATGTTTACCTCATACATTCGATGTTTACCTCACGCTGTACTATGTTTCTCGCACACTACGATGCGCTTTGCGATGTTTCTCGCACATTACGATGTTTACCTCGCGTCTTACGATGGCCTAAGCTGATAAACTGCACCCCCTGGGTCCTGGTTGGTACCTCCGCTGGGCCTAAAGTCCACTAATAAGCAATTAATGGTCGCTAACAACCGGGCGTGTGCCACCTGCGGGATACTGGGCGGGAAAATGATGGGGTTGACGGCTGAGAGAGCGGGGGGACCTGTCCTGCCCTAAGGGCAAGGGGAGTGTCCTAGGCCCCTCCCTCCCTCTCCCTCCGTTAACAGGTATGTGGTTGAAATGTTGAACGTTTACCAAGCCTGGCCTCCTCTCCTGTCGACTTGGTCGGCAGCGACAGGTCAGGTCAGTACACCACGTTAGCGCTCGGGCCTGGAGGACACCGCTGCTGAGGACGTCAGCAGCGTTCAGGCTACGGGGACACCTCTCCGTCAGCAGCGTTCAGGCTACGGAGACACCTCTTCGTCAGCAGCGTTCAGGCTACGGGGACACCTCTCCGTCAGCAGCGTTCAGGCTACGGAGACACCTCTCCGTCAGCAGCGTTCAGGCTACGGGGACACCTCTTCGTCAGCAGCGTTCAGGCTACGGGGACACCTCTCCGTCAGCAGCGTTCAGGCTACGGAGACACCTCTTCGTCAGCAGCGTTCAGGCTACGGAGACACCTCTTCGTCAGCAGCGTTCAGGCTACGGGAACACCTCTCCGTCAGCAGCGTTCAGGCTACGGGAACACCTCTTCGTCAGCAGCGTTCAGGCTACGGGACACCTCTTCCGTCAGCAGCGTTCAGGCTACGGGACACCTCTTCGTCAGCAGCGTTCAGGCTACGGGACCACCTCTTCCGTCAGCAGCGTTCAGGCTACGGGACCACCTCTTCCGTCAGCAGCGTTCAGGCTACGGGACCACCTCTTCCGTCAACAACTTTCTGCAGCCGCATGCGAGGGCCTCAAGAGTGCCCGCCGCGGCCTCTCTGGTTAAACTAATGTCTTACAGTGTTGATGGTGGCAGCTCACGCCACCAATGACCCAGCTGAATAATGGGCGCCTCTCCGCTTGGCCAGAGTAACTCCACTTACTGCCCGCGTGTTGTATAAGTGGCCCCCATTTCAGCCCTAGTGTGAAGTTGTCATGCTAATTAATGTACGACAATTAGCGGCCACAAATGGGAAAATCGCGGCGTTCGTCATGAAGCTTAAACATTTCATGGGTCATCTATTCGGAAATGGCAGTCTCCCGAAGTCTGCGTTCGAACGTGGCTAGACTGACGCCGGTGTTATAGAACCAACGCCGAGCTGCAGTGTTTACAATGACAAATTATCTTCATTTTTCGTTTACAAATCATTTCTGTAATGCTTCGAAACCCGTATGATACAGCAGAAGGCTGAGACATGCTTCAGGTTCGCGACGCTCAAGCCAGCCCCATGTGGAGGGTTTGAGACGGGTTAAACGTCATCAGTGAGCGAGAGTTCTGCAAACATCTTGGGGTCACGTGCCCTTTTTGCTCGAGAAGGCTGGGCACCCCCATCATTACTGCCCTACGTGGATCGCGGCCTGCTGTCCCGGGCATCGGGGGCATATCCCACACCTGTGCAACCGTGTAATGAAAAACACTGGATGACGCTGAATCCTCCCCAGGTCGTCTCCATATCACCAAAATAGAAAAAAATAAAAACTGAACTGTAGGTTACAGGAAGACCTAGACAAACTCCAGGAGTGGTAATTTAAAAAACTTTAAGGTAATGGGGATGGGAAAGGGAGAGTGGAGACCAGAAGGCAGCTACACCATAAAGGGAAGACAACTACAGGAATCAGCAAGCGAGACTTTGCGGTACATATAGTTCCAACACTAACACTGGAGGCACACATAAACAAGATAACATCGGCAGCATATGGGACGCTGGCGAATACAAGAACGTCGTTTAGAAACTTTTATGAGGACTCTTTCATGGCAATCTACGCAACATTTACAGACGATGAGTCACAATAACGTAGTTGAAGTAATGATGGTTATCTTGAGATGATTTCGGGGCTTAGCGTCCCCACGGCCCGGTCCTCGACCAGGCCTCCTTTTTGTTACACATCTCCAGGAAGTAGCCCGTAGCAGCAGTCTAGCAACTCCTAGGTACCTATTTGCTGCTAGGTGAACAGGGGGCATCAGGGTGAAAGAAACTGCCCATTAGTTTCCGCCTCCACCTCAGGATTACGAATCCGAAGTGCAGTCCACTCAGCTGTTAGGTCCCCCATTATGACCAAAACTTCATTCCAGTTCTTCATGGAAACGAGGAAACGACGAGGTTCCGGTCCGTTCTAGACCATTATCACGTAGACTTGATAATGGTCGCCATACACATTTGTTAGGCCAATACTGGAACATGCAGCAACGGCATGTAATTTGCATCTTGTGAATCAAAAAAACAAAATTGAAAAAAGTACAAAGGTTTGCAACAAGATTGGTGCCAGAGCTAAGGACTAAGCTACGAGAACAGGCTAACAGGCTAAATCTCACAACCCCAAAGGGTAGAAGGAACAGAGGAAATATGATCACAACATACCAGATAATGACGGGAATGGATAAGGTGGACAAGGATAGCCTCTTCACATTGAGAGTAGGACAAGAGGATACGGGTGGAAACTGGAAACGCAAATGAGCCGAAGGAATGCAAGGAAATACTAGTACCCTGCACGGTTAGTCAGCACGTGGAATGCACGGAAAGAAGTTGTGGAAGCCACCTCTATCCACAACCTTAAGGCCAGATTCAACAAAGAATTTTAACGCCAAAATTGTTACGTTGTAATGCAAAAGGTACAACAAGGCTAATAGGCAGGGCATAGAGCTAGATCTAACTCCCCCGTAGACCCTGTTAGGTAAGCACAATCCCTATCATGTATATCTATATTTATATGTTGCGAGAGAAGTGGTCACTGAGATATAAAGAGCGATAAATCCTTCTGATAACCACGCCACCATCCCATGAGTTACAGCCCCGCCCCAGTGCCTGGTAAGTCCACTACGGGCTCGCCATTGCCCGTGCTACTTGCAACTTCTTGTTCCCAGTAGCCGAATCTAAAACAACAACATTCTGATAACCCACAAAGTCATATTTTCTGTGAAGAATGTGTCATCAAGACACGTGTGTCAAAAGGACAAATGTGGCAGATGTACATACTAAAAATTTGTTTATCGTCCTCAAGAGGTTGGGGGATGAAGCAGACATAATTGACGCAAGTTTCCGCCACAACAATGACTGAATATCACCTCAAGTGACGCTAGCCAGGGGAACACATGGCTATAAAAGTACCCCGTAAGCTGGAATAACCTCTATTGTGAGGTTGATTACAAAATATGGGGGTCCCTCGCTGTCTTGTATAAACGGCTCCGTCCAACTGCTGTTGTGCGCAACTTACGCCCCTACCAATCTGGGAGATAAGGTGGACTTTGCGTCAGGACCCTACCCACCAAGCTGTATTATATGTAGACTTTTGGTTCTCTGTGGTTTGAAAATAAGAGGCCGTGAGGGACATCTCTGATCCCATTAAGCTTTTTTTTCAATCGTATTCAGAATGTTTTGGTGTTGGGCCTAAGGTCTATCACCCCCGGGAGGGTTATGGTCACCATAATGGCTTAGGGTTAGTATGCCAGATGGGTTAAGCCTTAGCACTATCACAATATATACACACAACTCAAACTAGCTTCTTCGTACTTGGCCCTCGACACCCCCCTGCCCTGCTAGGCTCACTTCCTCCCTTGTCTTAATCTCCATGTCTCTTCCCAGTTCTATCACCCTGGAGGATACCTCAACTCCCTCACGGCTTCCCGTCTCCTCAACCTTCCATGTTGCTGGAGCCGCTCCCAGTACCTCCGACACGCTGGACCACCTTCTCCCATCCCACCCTCCACCTGCCCTCCCTTTTAGCAAACCGGCATTGTGCTAAATACAGAAGAGATTTTAGTGGGAGGGAGGGAGGGATGGAAGGGCTTTCTTTGGTGGGAGGAAAGGATGATAAGTAAACATATCGAGGCTTCTGCCACCGAACTCTGCGGTGATGGAAAATGCCTTACAAAACAACAGGGTGGTGGGACATTGACAAAGATGAAATTATCCACTTCGTAACTTCATAAATTATCCACTTGACAACTAAATTATCCACTTCATAAACCAAGAGGCGACACAGCAGTTTGGTACACCTGTACACCAATTGGGTACAATTGGTTGAAATACAAGGGGGGAGGGGGGTAAACCGATTGAGAATCCAATTGTTTACTTCAGAGTTGTGATACGAGAAGCCACCAATATAGAGTAGACCAAACATCTCAGTGGCTGAGGATCACGGGCCGAGCCACGAGGGCCCTACCTTCGTACGCTGACCATGGAGGACTGTGGTACAATCTCAGCTAAACATCTTTACTGCAAGCTCATTTCTTCTTAAAAAGCACCTGTGGCCGATAAGGAAAGAGTGAGGTTAAATGCTGGCTCAGTGCACAGTGGGCGAGCCGGCTAGACAGATAGCGGGCCAGCACAGTGGGGGAGCCGGCTAGACAGATAGCGGGCCAGCACAGTGGAGGAGCCGGCTAGACAGATAGCGGGCCAGCACAGTGGAGTAGCCGGCTAGACAGATAGCGGGCCAGCACAGTGGAGTAGCCGGCTAGACAGATAGCGGGCCAGCACAGTGGAGTAGCCGGCTAGACAGATAGCGGGCCAGCACAGTGGAGGAGCCGGCTAGACAGATAGCGGGCCAGCACAGTGGAGTAGCCGGCTAGACAGATAGCGGGCCAGCACAGTGGAGTAGCCGGCTAGACAGATAGCGGGCCAGCACAGTGGAGGAGCCGGCTAGACAGATAGCGGGCCAGCACAGTGGAGGAGCCGGCTAGACAGATAGCGGGCCAGCACAGTGGAGGAGCCGGCTAGACAGATAGCGGGCCAGCACAGTGGAGGAGCCGGCTAGACAGATAGTGGGCCAGCATAGTGGAGGAGCCGGCTAGACAGCGGACCAGCACAGTGGGAGAATAGATGAACCAGATAGTGGCTATATTTGGTTAAACACTCAATACAACTCCTACAGACTTGGTGTACTTTTGCCTCACCCTGTGTAAGGATGTTGGCTTTGTGACTGTATCTCAGCAATGATCTTCCTTAATCACTTTACAATGTTTAGAGTAAAGAAATGTAGTATACAAAATAATAGAAGATGAAAATGGTTGGGTAGTGTACAGAGAGGTACTTCATGTAACCACTTGGTGTGCTTCATACCTACATGAAGGGCGATGTAATGAAGTGTTACTGTAATGACTACAGGAGGTTGAATGGTGTAATGAGTACAGGAAATGTAAGAAGTCAAAGGTGGGTGGGTCGGAAGGGAATGTTGTTGTGGAGAAGGGTGATTTGAGGCGATGGTTGGTAGCTATGTTGACGATGGTTGCAGAGAGGAAGAGGAAGACTTCTAACGCATTGCAATGCATCGTGTGTGCTTGTGAGGTGTGTTGGGGTACAGAACACGATGCCACGGGGAGGGCAGACAACTCACCGTTCACCAGGGTATTGTTTTGCATGAGCAAGTCGTGCCCAATGGAGATGTAGTCTCCGGTCTGGCCACATCCCCGGGTGTGTAGGGTCCAGGGGCGAGGCCCGTGGTGGGGGTGCCTCTCCTGGGTCACCCGCACGTCCGCCGCCTCCCACGTCTCGTTGGTGGCGTTCTGCAGCGTGGCCAGCAGGGGACACGCCGCCGGGGACCAGGAGGGCGGCACTAGCACAGTGACACTCCGGAAGTGAGCCCGGCCGCGGGTGGCACTAAACACCACAGTCGATGCAGAGCCAACCACCTCCTGAAAGAAAAACAAAATCTATCACACACATGTACACATAAACATCCTATGTAATAATGTACGGGGAACACTTTGAGCACCATAGGAGCTCTTAAATTCCAGGAGGGCTCACGTAGCCACAGGAGCTGGCAGGCGTCCACCGAGGGTTGGTGGGGTCCCGCGGGCAATTGGCCGTAAACCATGCTGTGACCCCTGGGACCCCCACCCCGCCCGGACCATTATAGTTCCTCCTGCAACGTCAGTCATTCATTATTTCTCTCTCGCGGACACTTTCCTCCCGGCAGTGTGAGAGTTGCTGCTGTGCCCGAGGGCTGGCTACTGCTTTACGCCTCGCTCTAACGCCTTTATTACATAAGTAAAGACAAATTTAAACAACTTTTTTTTTTAAACAACTGCCTGAAGATGAATATGGTGAGGTTGTCTTAACAGCAATTTCTCTCAAATAAGGCATTTTTACCTAAGTTATTCAATTTACCTGTGATTGTTTTCAAGAGTTCTTATACATGCCAAGCCCCGTAGCGGGGCCACACTTGACTAGTACCTGTGGATGTTTTCAATTTGTTTTTGTTTGTTTAATTCTCCCGCATCCTGACCTTAGGGCTAGGCCTCCCTCGAGATTGTAATTACCTGGTCCGTGAGACTGTTTGTCTTCGCAGCCCGCAGGCCAACACAGCCTTCACAACCAGGCTCATCCTGGCAACACCAACCAAATGAGGTAACGTGTAGTCTTAACCAGAAAATATTGTAACTCATGCCGAAATAATGTAGACGTGGCTGGTGGGTACCAAGCTACCTCCCGGGGTATGCCCAGCTGCGTGCTGAGATACCCAGAACCTCGTTAGTTGTGACGTGGTATGATACCTGAGTTACTAAGTTAATTGATTTCTGGAGGGGCGAACTTACCCTTATGGTGGATTGGCTGGGTTATAGGCCTAGTGGTAGACCTCCTCTACTCCTGTAAAACAGAGTTCCTGGTCGTGTGGACCAAACAAGAGCTCCTGTTGGTGTGGACCAAACAGAACCCCCCCCCCCCCCCCCCTCCCCCCAACGTGGGTCGAGTGGAAGGCAAGAAACACGGGGAAGCCAATGACGGACGGGTCAAGTGGAAGTCAGAGAGGAGGCCAAGTTGAGAGAGGAAGTGATGAGTGGCCCGAGAAAATTACTCTCATTAACAGGATGATATATAGACTCTGTGGAGAAACTAGGCGCTTGATGGTGTAGGTGATTGGTGCTGGCGCTCTCCCTAGCCTCTCTCTCTCTCCACCTGTTTCTATCGCTCTTCTCTCCCTCTCCCTGTGTCTCCCTCTACGTCACCAGGGGTCACTTGCCGGCCGCCCTGCATGACGCTGATGGCCGCCCACAATACTTTTAGGTCATTAGTGTTTTGAAACTGATTTGCAGGGTGTACTTACACCTTGTGACTACGGGGAAAATGGCGGTTTAGCTCCTTATGTAGTTATGGCTGGGAGCTGCGCACCGTGGGCGGCGTGTGGCCGGGAGCTGCGCACCGTGGGCGGCGTGTGGCCGGGAGCTGCGCACCGTGGGCGGCGTGTGGCCGGGAGCTGCGCACCGTGGGCGGCGTGTGGCCGGGAGCTGCGCACCGTGGGCGGCGTGTGGCCGGGAGCTGCGCACCGTGGGCGGCGTGTGGCCGGGAGCTGCGCACCGTGGGCGGCGTGTGGCCGGGAGCTGCGCACCGTGGGCGGCGTGTGGCCGGGAGCTGCGCACCGTGGGCGGCGTGTGGCCGGGAGCTGCGCACCGTGGGCGTGTGGCCGGGAGCTGCGCACCGTGGCCAACCATCCGTGCCATTCTGATACTTGTGGCCGGCGATCCGTCAGTGTTCGACCAGTGGTCGATCAGTCATCCTGCCTGGCCGCTACATTGAATATTAGCCAAGCAGTAATGAGGTGAAGAACGACCCCCACCACTATACCAACCCTCCACAAGGTGGGATCTCCCGTGCTTTCTTCGTGATTGATGACACTAGTTCCCCCTTACACAATGCCCATACAAAATGATGCTTACAACAGCATTTCCAGCACGAAATATATAAATAAATAAAATAGTGAACATCATTTTGGTACAAGAGCGCCAGAGATCACAAAGGCAGGTTTAATTAACTATAAAGCACAAGAATATAAGAATATAGAGAACTCCAAGAAAGGTCTATTAGTCTACTAAGATTGTTGAACGCTGCCGCGTGGGTTCTCGTGTAAGAACCACGGCCAGCTATCCTTCCACACGACCTGATTGGCAATCATTTCTCGTTGTCCTGATTGGCAATCATTTCTCGTTGTCCTGATTGGCAATCATTTCTCGTTGTCCTGATTGGCAATCATTTCTCGTTGTCCTGATTGGCAATCATTTCTCGTTGTCCTGATTGGCAATCATTTCTCGTTGTCCTGATTGGCAATCATTTCTCGTTGTCCTGATTGGCAATCATTTCTCGTTGTCCTGATTGGCAATCATTTCTCGTTGTCCTGATTGGCAATCATTTCTCGTTGTCCTGATTGGCAATCATTTCTCGTTGTCCTGATTGACAATCATTTCTCGTCGTCCTTATTATCAATCATTTCTCGTTTAATCCCCCCCCCCCCCGCCCATACTTTCCTCGCGTTTCAATTTGTCTGTCAATCTGTCTCTATGCTAAACAGCTTTTAACTATCACTAGGCCTACACTCATGTGTGAACTTACGCTCGTTAACGTGTAAGCAGACTTGTGGGATGCCATCATCAACAGCCCGCTTGATCAGGATATCATATTGGATGACTTGAGGAGCCGTCGACGTGGCTGTGGACGGCATTAATGCATTATTATGTGGAGTGGTTACTGTGGGTGGAGTGGTTACTGTGGGTGGAGGGTTACCACGCGAATTACTGGGACAGGGGATACCGTGGGAGAAGAGAGATATTGTGGGAGAGGGGTTACTATGGGAGGGCATCGTGGAACGGGAAGGGGGGTTAGGGAGGTAGAAAGCGCCAAGCCATTACGACTCTTGGAAAGGATGAAGTGTTATGTAGTCGTAATGGCTTGGCGCTTTCTCCACTATGGGAGAGAGGGTCACCGTGAGAGATGTTGAGGGAGAAGGGGTTAAGCTGGAGGGAAAGGTAAAGCCGCCGTGGGAAGCGTTAGGTGTGGTGGAGAGGTTGATTGTGTGCGGGGTGGTGACAGGCGTGGAGGGAGGGGGAGGGAGAGAGAGAGAGAGAGAGAGAGAGAGAGAGAGAGAGAGAGAGTGAGAGAGAGAGAGAGAGAGAGAGAGAGAGAGAGAGAGAGAGAGAGAGAGAGAGAGAGAGAAAGAGAGAGAGAAGAGAGAGAAAGAGAGAGAGAGAGAGAGAGAGAGAGAGAGAGAGAGAGAGAGAGAGAGAGAGAGAGAGAGAGAGAGAGAGAGAGAGAGAGAGAGAGAGAGAGAGAGAGAGAGAGAGAGAGAAGAGAGAGAGAGAGAGAGAGAGAGAAAGAGAGAGAGAGAGAGGAGAAGAGAGAGAAAGAGAGAGAGAGAGAGAGAGAGAGCCTGGGAAAGGATTCGAACCACTTGTGTTAGCAGAGGAACCTCGAAGCGAAGAAGGTGACCTGAAAGGTAGGATAATCCCCCAAGGTGAGGTCGGCTGACCCACCTTGACCCCGCACTGGGCGACCCTAGCGGTCGAGGGCGCGACCAGAGATGGCAGCAAAATAATGCTATCCTCCATCCACCACCAGCGGCAACACTGCTGTTGGTTCCCTGGAGTATATACCTGGAGAGGGATTCGGGAGTTCTTCTACTCCCCCCGAGCCTGGCCACAGGCCGGGCTCCTCTTGTGATTACTTCAGCAAGAAGGCTGTTGCCTGGAGCGGCCCGCAGGCCCACACATTAAAAAACGGTCGGTCTGGCAACTCCTGTAGGAAAGGGTCTTAATTGTTTTTTTAAACTGGTTCACTTGTGTGTTATTGCCAACCTTCCTCCAGATGGTACATATTCCAGCTTCGTCCGCTAATGCTTGGGAGATCCACGACACGTTTCAGAATTGTGCATTAAGACACCTGCGTCAATACTTCTGCGCAATCCGTATAGGCCTATATTATTAAAGCATTTATTTAATTACACTCGAGTATTGCAAGTCGAGTATTTGTTTACAATTTGTTTACAGTGTTTACAATGATCGGTTAGTATGTATTTGTTGTATATCATTTGTAAATACCTGCTTGATGGGGTTCTGGGAGTTCTTCTACCCGCCAAGCCCGGCCCGAGGCCAGGCTTGACTTGTTAAGAGTTTGGTCCACCAGGCTGTTGCTTGGAGCGGCCCGCAGGCCCACATACCCACCACAGCCCGGTTGGTCCGGCACTTTTTTTTTTTTTTTACAAAACAATCTAATTTTTTCTTGTTTCTTTTTTGTTTGTTTCTTTTTTCAAGGTTCTTTCGACTTGAAATGGTTACTATCCACACCTGGAGTATAAGCAGTACTAACTACTTCAAGTAACTACCCAAATAATGTCAAGTTAACTAGTAATTAATAGTCTAGGGTCCAACTTATTAGATAATATCGCTCTTGGGTTGAGGGGGGTGGGGGTTAAGCTAGGCAAACATGTTTGGGTCTATCCTTATGGTAGTTCCTGGGATCAGTGTCACCCGCGGCACGGTCTCTAGGTCTAGAGGACATGGTTGGCCAAGCGTCAGGTGCCGCTGAATGTTGTCATGTGTAACAACCAAGGAGTTTATTCCTCCAAGGAGTGCCGGACCAACCGGGCTGTGGTGGGTACGTGGCCCTGCGGGCCGCTCCAAGCAACAGCCTGGTGGACCAAACTCTCACAAGTCGAGCCTGGCCTCGGGCCGGGCTTGGGGAGTAGAAGAACTCCCAGAACCCCATCAACCAGGTATCAACCAGGTAACCACGGCCCAGTTGGCAATATATATATCCCTCTGAAGCGCATAGAATTATTTCAGGCAGATATGTAATCAATCTCTATAATATTTTCCAAATATAATTATAATGTATTTCTGTCAGCCACATACTTCAGTACTGACAA